TCTGGAGGAATGAACGAAAGAAGCGTATTACAGCTTCCATTGCCCATACTGTAGCTCATCGACGACCTCAGACTGACCCGTCATCCCTCATAAAAACTATCATTGATCGGCCGGCGTTCACCACTCCTGCAACCAGATGGGGGATTGATCATGAAGAAGAGGCACGATGTGCCTACGTAGCCCACCAAGCCAAGTCTGGCAAGCTGATAGATGTTGTTGCATGTGGCTTATTTGTGCATGCTGATGAATGCTGGTTTGGTGCCAGTCCCGATGGCATTGTTAGGGATGGTGATACATCACTTTTGCTCGAGATTAAATGCCCGTTTGTTGCTAGAGACCAAAGTCTAGCAGAGGTAGCTGGGTCTACTGCATCATTTTGTTTGTCCAACAAGGATGGTGTGCTTTCTCTCAAAACAACACATGCCTACTATACACAAGTGCAAATGCAGCTCTTTGCTGCAGGCCTTCAATTTTGTGACTTTGTAGTGTGGTCTCCCTGCAATGATCTTTTTGTTGAGCGCATTTCATTTTGTGAAGTGCATGTCAAGAAAACTCTCGCAGCTTGCCGAACATTTTATTTTGATCATGTTCTCCCGAAACTGGCTCTGTGATCAAGTTTCTTGGTAATAGATATATTCCTCGTCATCTGAGATGACCATTGCTCACTTTGCTCCAGTTCCTGTAGTCTTGACTGTTTACATTCTTCCCTTATTTTGTGGCAATCTTTTCTTCTGTAAGTGTGTCTGAACTGTTCTATACGCTGCGCTCTATGTTCTTTATTATAGCTTTTTCTGTTCTGCCCTGTTCTGTAGCTCCTTCTTGATATAAACGCCGTGATTAGATGGTGGATAGTTCCATCAGCTACCGGCTTCCTGCATTTGTACATGATTAGGTAGTGTTGTATACATGTACCCAAGACAGTGGAACTCTGCTGTAAACAGTGCGTTATAGTAAATTATACTGCCATTACTGGTAACCACTACAAAAAACGGCACGTACAACTGGTTTACAATAGCTCGCCATTCCGTGTTACAACGGAGTTCAAAAAGGCATGAACGTTACATGAGTATTCGTATTTACTTCAAAGTAAGCGGCACTTGCAGCAGTCACAGGCCACATTTCCTACCTGGTGAACAGCACAAACAGACAAATAGGAGCATCACTACTTCTACTTCGAAGTACGAAGTCCTGAGTGAAATAAGCATCATTGTGTAGGGGCACCATTACTCACAACATAACACAAAGAAAAGAGGGGAAGAAAATACCGAGGCCACGTAGGAATATCGGCATGCGCAAAAAGCTTTCAACAGAGCGGCCTGGTCATAAAGCAAGAATTACATAGACGCCCATCTTCATCATCATTCTGACACATATGGTGGTAGCGTGAGTTACAAGACCTACAAACTCTAAGAAGTGGGCCATCTGAGCGCTTGCAAAACAAACATACGGGAGTGGTCACATAGGCAGCAGTGGCTACAGAAGAAGATGGCACGCTGATAGCAGCAGCAGTAGCAGCTACAGGAGATGGCACGTTCGTAGCAGCAGAAGTAGCAGCTACAGCAGATGACAACTTGGTAGCAGCGGAAGCAGCAGCAGAAGCAGTAATGGCAGGTGAAAGAAATTTGCCAGCTGAAACAGCCACTGCAGAAATGTTTGCATCTGGTGATATCTGGGCAACTTCTGCAGCAGAGGAAAAGTGTGCAGACTGTGTCGATGGCTTACTAACAGGCGGAGGTACCAGGGGCTCCATGTAGTTAGTGAGGAATGCACACACAAATATGATCTGCTCAGCCAAAGGGCACAACACGGAAGATAAGAAGTGAGTTATCCTGAAGTTCTTGATCCTTTCCATTGCTCTCTCCACATGAATACGCACGCTAGCAATACGCCGAGTTTCGATCACCTCTTCTTCATCAAGCTGATCTCGAGAACCAAGAAACGGGGGTATGTTGAGATCGACACCCTCCGGTAGCAGATCGGCAATGTCGAAACCACGGTCGGCCATGATGGCATCACCCTTCTCCATCAACTTCATTAGCCCACTTCGCTTTGTCAGTTTCTTATCAGAAATGCGCCCGCCATAAAGAGGAGACAGAAACGATATTGCACCGGTAGGTGTCACACCAACTAACAGTTTGAAAGTGTTCCTGTTTTTGTAATTCGACCAGGTGGCTGCTTGTACAGTTGGGTTGGCTGGCTTCTCAATGGGAAACTCTGTTGCGTCAATAATTACCCGGGTGCGTGGGTACTTGTCTTTGAAGACGTCGGGCATGTAGCGATCAATCAGAGCCCGGCTCGGCCAAATGTCCACTTCTTTCATAGAGAAGTACATGCAACGAATGTACGTTGAAAATATTCGGGACACCGTGGATTGATCTATTCCGAATCGCAGTGCTAAATCTGACTCAGGGAAAGCATGCCGAAGTTTGACAAGGGTCAATAGCAACTCGTCTTCATACGCCAATGCTCTTCGTCTGCCACGGCTGTCCTGGCCAAGGAAATCAGCTGGCACTTTAGTAGCAAAGCACATGTCTTGACATCCACACCGCAACTGATCCAGCAACAAGTCAAACGCCAGAGAACTCAGGCCCGTGTAAAACAGTACAATCTTGTTGTCATGTCGGATGTTCGAGTAATGGAGTTGGCATTTCCGCAAAGCTTCTTCCGATTCATCCAAATTGTACAAGGCCTGCTCCAACTGGGACCGCAACTTAGCCACTTGTGCTTCCAAAGTCTTTATTTTGTGAACGGGAGCTTCACCATAATCATGGTCAGCTAAAAGTGTTGCAGCCTCAGGCACCGATTCATCTGTGACTGGTAAATCAACATCGTCATCAATATCAATCGCTTCAACGGGTCGACTGACTTCGCCTGTCGAAACACGGCTCTTCCTCTTCACTACGACGGCTTTGTCCAAGAAACGGGAAGGTGGCTCGTCCTCCGTCACAGGTCGACCACCAGGAAAGTGCACCCCACAGACATACGAGTTTCCAGAAAGAGGAGTGTTGACTCTTGGTATTTTGGCAAGCCACTCGGCCCTGATATGCCGGCGTCGATCCGAATCTTTAGGCAAACGATGAAAAGATACAGCTTTACAGACCTCTGCTGTTCCTCCGCAGCCAACACGAGCCAGGTCTGATCCACATAGACGACGCTTCACAAACACTTTTCGTCCTTGCGAGTTCGCATCATCAGACTCAAACAAACCAAACTTGCAGCTGCTTTTACGATTTGAGCAGCCAGGGACGATACAATGAGCGTTGCTTGGCATGATTGTGTCAGCTGCTTACTGATCTCTAACTAACTTGCTACTTATACACAACAGCAAACTGTGACAACCCTTGCCTTCCAAGAAGGAAATAAATGTCTTGCTTTGAGTTTGATTCTTCACCAACACAAAGGAAAAAAAATTGTACATTGTACTTCAGCCTCAGCAAACGCGAAGCAGGTACGTAGGGCTCTACGATCATCAGAGTTTCCACGCGTGCATGCATGAGACTGCATGCTGCGCTGCGTGGTGCAAGTACAGTGTCGAGGTCGTGAAGTTGCCCCGCACAAAAAACCGCGGGAAAATTATGCATAGGTGCCATTGACAGCCTTGAACTAATCAACCCCTGCCGAAAAACCAGCTGGGAAGGGACACAGCCGGGGGGGGGGGGGGGGGGGGTTAGTGAACAGTATTTTCCATTAGACAAATAATAGTTATATTCCAACACAACAAAATCACCTACGGAGAATCCAAGATAGAAACATTATCCACTGGAATGCCAAGTTGGCTGCAACTAGCCACAAGCTCCGTCCTCCGCTGCGCACCTTGACCATAATAGTTTCCTATGCACAAATTGGATACAGGAGAATCTCACCTGTGAAAAACTTCACACGTATCCACCTAAAACACAGTTTTTGTACGCACAATATCATCGTACGTACGAACAGTCCACCATCATCACCACCAGCACCTAAATTTAGATTACACATTTTATAGTGCCTTTAAAAAGGCACTAGCGTCCGATTGGTATTGTTGCTAATAACTTTCGTGGACGTCATTTCTGCCATTTCATTGTACTGTATTACTCTTCAGACATCAATCCTGAACGGCATAAGCGGAAGTGGCACCCCCGCCACCTATGCGGACATGCTTTTAATATAATATAAATATAGCGTGTGCACTGTATGTGAAGGGAGTGCTGGTCACCTGATCCTACATCACACCTGAAATCAGGCAGGTCCCCAACACCGGAATTTTTTTAAATTAAAATATTCACGGTTCGCGTCAGACTCGGTTTCTCTATATAGAGGCCGAGTTTTCCGCATCCGTAGGAACGCCACCACCCTTCAAGGATCAAGGCGCAGATGCAGCTCCTAAAGCGGTGGGAGGTGAGTAGATCAGCTCACCAGCATGTGGTCAAAGACCGAAAATCCCATTCACTGCATCCATTTTTTTTTTAAAGAGACCTAAAATTACACGTTAGGGACCGTCCATAATAATTATCAATTTCTTTTACACAACACAAAAAAGTTTCGTTTATGGGTGGGTGGGTCGAGGAGAGTTTCGTTATTTAGTACTTTGTATGTTTTCTAATTTCGTACTTCACCGCACGGAATATATTATATTATATTGAAGTTTTACAGTATGCACATTTAGACCTTCTACTGCACTGGGGCTGCTTGATAGGGAATTCCCCTTTCAGCGCATCCTGCTGAGCCGATGATGCAAAGCGCAATTTCCTTTATCTGCCTCTACCATTCGTGGCATAAAATATATCCGCTAGGGATGATACGAAGCACTCGAGACTTTGAAAGGCCTTTCTCTTATTTTGAATTTCCAACGAACCTTGGTTACGGGCATGTGGCCGTACATTTATTCATAAAAGTATTCATTTTTTTAACGCATATTGTACGTGGACACCACACACACACACACATACACACACGCGCGTGCGCACGCACATAAAAACGCATGCAAACAGACAAAAAAATCCATACACGCCTGCTAGCAGCAAAATTCTCACAAGCCATCCCGTGCTGGAATGCAAGAAAAGTCATCATTTACGTACCGCAGTGCTGCTGAGTAAAATCTGATCGCACGAGTCAAATACGAGGCGAGCGCCGTGCCCAGACCTGTAAACACACTGGGCGGCAGAATGGTGCAGAGCGCAAACTTGACTCACACGACCGGATTTCACTGGGCAGCACTGTGGTGTTTGCATCCGTGCGATATTTTTTATCAACCACCACAGCACAACTGAACTAGCATTGTGAGAAATTATCAGTGCTGCCGCTATCGGAGCGTTTTAGGGCCGGGTTCCACTGCGGCTCCGCTGCCCCGCTGCTCGTCTTTCGCGGCTTGAAACGTCATCATTACCATAGTGACCGCGGCTCGAGCTGGAGCAGCGAGTCCGCGGCTCACCGCGAGCTTTTGCTACGATTCTTGACCAAAAACTGCGAGCCGCGGTCGCGGCTCGACCTGTTTCCCGTACTTTGCATTGTTTTGTACGCCAGAATTTTAAAATTCAAATTTTAATTCGTTGCGCAGGCCAGAACACGAGGATTTGTTTGATTCCGCGCGCGCAGGCAGGTGAAACGTCATCAAAAAGTGTGGACCACGACCGCGATACCGCGAATGGCGAGTGACAGTGGAACCGCGCTGCTCCGCTGCATGCAGCCAAGTGCCGCGGAGCAGCGGAGCCGCAGTGGAACACGGCCCTTATGGCAAGAAGTGAATTTTTGGATTACTTGGTGGTGAAATATTTTTACATCACAAGGACAATGAACCTTCACAACCTATCTCCAAGGGCTACATAAATCTGTACTGTATAGCAGAGGTGCTGTATATCCGCGGTCAAACGACTGCTGGTGTAACGCAGGGTCGTCAGAAATAGCACGATATCCCGTGCTGTGTGTTTAGACCGAGTGTTGATAATCATGCACTGTTGACTGTATACTCCCTGTCTTACCTGTCGATAGGCACAGTAGATGAACTGAGCGAGCTCCCGCATCGCGGACGGCAGAAATGACCGTGGGCCCAAAGAACATGCACTCATCATCCGGATGAGCAACGACGAACAGAACTAAGTCGTTGCTGCTAAAAACAGCAGCATCTTGAGAATACAGGCGCCAAAAGCGACCCGTCAGAATGGCGCAAACCAGCAAAGACGCTCCAACTGCAACAACGTTCGGCGATACTTCCAGTTGAAGCATTTCACAGCCCATTGACGCTTTCCTGAAGACCTCTCCACGTCTCTACAAGCACAACAAGCGTGTGTCAGCTGTCAAAGACGAACTACAGCAGGAAAACTCTCACCAGCGGGGCGAAAAACACGCCCGGGCTCCCGTTGTTTGGGAGATGTGCAACAGTCGCAGATTTAGCAAAGACGTCGGAGAGGAATAGCTAGAAAAAGTTGGATACATGTAGCTCCACTGGCTGTTGATATCGCATTTGTAGAATTATTAGTTGCAGTCAAGGTTCGATTCACTTGTCTTTGAAAGAAAAGCAAATAAAAAGTTTTGAATCCTGCCAAACAAAACATCGAAAAATGCGTAGGATATCGATATGAGGACGCAAAAGGAACGCCATCTTTCGTTGCTAAGGACCACGGCCGTACAGGATTATCTCGAGTTTCTATGCAAACCGGAGTGATTTCTGAGAAATGTCTCGAAATTACTGGACTGTGGGGCAGAAGGCCAGGATCTTCAGAATCCAGTCCCATGCAAATGTTAATCCCCTGAGGACAGAAATAAAAGCCGCCGACGCTCGACGCTTGACGCAGCAGCGCCGCGGTTGGCAGCTGAAGGCTGAAGCACAGACTAGACTGTGGCATGCAGTGGCAGCTTGAACAGTTGAAGGCTTTCTCTTTGTGTCTGATGCCAGCAAGAATACAGTCATAATTTTCTCACATTTATCAGTCTTTATGTACTCTGTCTCTAGTCTTGATGCCAGTGCACTAGTGGCAGTGTCAGTGATCAGTGGTCATGGTGGTGGCATGTCAACATGTGAAGCGCCTTGCATGTTTTGACAAGCGCTTCTGTGCAAGCGCCAGATCAACACTGACCCTGTACTGAGCTGGACACATATCACATGGCTCGTGGTGATAGGCCGCTTGACTGACAAAGCCTTGACTTGAGCGTGCAAGAAGTCAACACGCTTGTGTGTGTGCGCGTGTAGCCGTGTACTGACTGTATCATGTATGTGCAGCACACTTACCTGATCTGAGCTTGCGCTCCATACACTGATACATACAGGCAAACGGGGGCCTTCCTGAGCTAGCTGTGAACTAGTCTGGAGTGTGAGTGCTACTGCTAGTAGTACTGAGTAGTAGTGGTGCCTGGTGCAGTGGTGGCAAATGACTTACATGTATGTGTGCATGTGTGTGTGTGAGTGTGTGGTGTACTACCAGTGTACAGCGAACGAAGACCGACATGATTATCCTGGCCTCGCCGAACAGGTGATACTGTGCTGAACACGGATCGACCGAATATTTTTCTCCTTCATTTTCAGAAGCATTCTTTAGGCCTGCACACTACTCGCTACTAGTTTGCAGTGGTCGATCGGCGCGCAGTCCGTGTGTGGACGTTCTCTTTCGCCGCCATAGCGAGCCGCAGGCAGGAGCCTCTGCAGTTCTGGTCATCAAGAGACGAGTTGGACGCAGAAGTCAGCTGCGAAGATGTTCCGTCAATGCCTCGGTCCGCGGCAACTGGAGGAGATAGATCGTACTGGCCAAGGAATCAATCGATTTCCAGAGGACTTGCATAGGCACAGAAAGCGCCTGCAGACGCTGATCTTGGATGGCAATGCTCTGCGCGAGATCCCAGCGGTAAGAATGCAACATCTCTGTGAACGCGGTACTGTGCCACACGTGTCTCTTTCTCTCTGCCTGGATAGAGTGAAGTGTAATAGTTAGTTCGTGTGTTCTAGTAGTACTGGTAGAGTGGAAAGGGTCTCGCTGTCTTGCCTTGCCACTGCCACTGTCGTTCTTTCCAAGCATAGCACTAACCAGCGAGTGTACTTGTGGAGGCCTATCCCTTGCTTGATAAACAGGACTGTGCGCGGAGTTTGCTCTGCGTGTGACTGAGTCTGTATATTTCGTCATGTGTGCGTTACCACTAAAAGAAAAAAAAAGTGTGCTGTATTGTGCGAGCCTCCGATTCGCTGGGGCGAAGACGCATGCAGCTCTTGTTTGCCCCTTATCATTGCGTTTCGTCTCTGCGTTGTTCCTCTCATTCGATTGTTCCGTCGTGTGCTCTTCCTGCTGTGAGCGTCGGTTTTGTAGGTGGCATTTGCCTGCATCCAGTGGCAGTGCGCAATTACCGTGTATGTGCCAGGTGCTTCATCCAATGAGTAGAGAAAAAATAACGAAAAAGACTAGAAATCAGAGGTCAAGGGTCCGACCGATGTCACTTTCTTTGTGTCCTCGCGTGTCCGATCCGTGTTGACAGTTTTTCCAGGGTCGAGGAGGTAGAATATTTTGCTAGCTTGGTCCTGAAATTGCGAAGGCTTCCCATCCGAAGGGCTTCATTCTGTGCCGATTACGTTTGCATTGTTGTCTTTATCGCCAAAGTACATCTGGGGCTCAATCATCTCACCTCATCTGTGATAAGAAGGTCTGAGCAAAACTCGAAAAGTAACGAACTCGAAAAGTGACTTGTTTTACTCTCTCTTTCGGCCTTCCGTTTCTTGTTCTGAACGACATTGCGTGAGGGTGCGCTTGCGGACTACTTATTTCTCGGACGATTGATCAGTGCACTGGCAGCGGAAATGCGCGGCTCTGATTGCGTCGAGTAGTCCTTTCATAGGGACGGGCAACATGTCGCTCGGTTTGGTCTCTCCTTCACGCGCGCACAGTACACGAGGTGAGAGCTAGCTCATCACGTCGTGCGGGCGATGATGGCGTTGATAAGAGTGAGTCCTACTCTTTAGGGTCTGCCTCCGGTGACCACAGTCCACAGCCGCACCGCTCGTATGCGTTCCTCTGTGATTGTACTTTGTAGCAGCCAGCTAACTACTTCGTTTCACGTTAGCGTAATCAGTTTGATCTGACTGGTGGTGGTCGTTTCTTTCCCATCCTCCTGGTTATTACAGTACTCAGTAGTCAGTAGTGTTGTTACCCGCACTCGCGGGAGCTGCTTGAGAATCTGGTAGAAGGAGTGCTTGCTTCTTCGACCAGGAGCTCGAGCTCTCTACTCCGCCACGATTCAAGGGTACTCAGACTCCTCGTTTTCGGGATTTGTTGCCTGGACTATGTGCGCACCCGGTGTCGATTTTGTGTCCTCCTACCCTGGCCTTTGTAACAATAAACCTTCCTTGCGAATCAATCGCTGTTGAATGGAAGCGCAATCATGGCCATTGTAAATTCCTACTTCATAGCTCAGTTGTGAAATGACAATAATGAAGTTGTTTGATTCTGACACTGTCATGGTAGAGTAAACCAAACTAATTTTTGTCCATCTGCCAATCAAACAAAGGCATTGCCAAGCAACATCGTGGCATAAGAGCTGCTGAAACCCACGCTTACTGTGGTAAGTGCTCTGGAAAGAAAGGCTTGCTTGGTGGATTTATTATTATTTATTATTATTATTATTGCAAATAACGCTGAGTAATTACACGAATGCATAAAAACCAGCATTTGCTTCCGGGAAGGATTCACAAACATAAGACAAAAACACCATGGCTCAATAGAACAGCACATACGAAAAGCAGCTTCTATTGTCAAGTTCGAGTGGCAATGTCAGAAAGACGGTAGACTGTTGGTGAATTAGTTCATCAAATTAATGATCAGTTCTGGCGAGTTGAGCTCTGAGAAACCAGAGCTACAGTGACTCTGGATCAGACTCGAAACACGCAAACTTCTTGTGTACAACAGTGTACTCGTACTTCAAAAAATATTTTTAAAAAAGGATATGCAATATTTAACTCGGACTGTATAAGATCTGGTTACGTTGGTGGACAGTTAGTCATAACTCGTAACATGTTGTCCTTCTTTTCACAATAAAAGGATATGCACTCATTTTCCTTGAAGAACTTTTTTCTACACATGGATGTGGCTAATGTGGTTTCTCGGCACTTATGCCAGTGGTTGTGAGACGTATCCAATCCCCCACCACCACCACCGTTAGGCGCTGCATCTGCTGCTAGGGTTTACCGGGTGTTAGCAGGCGTCGTGAGTCCCTTCGGGAACGGACGCGATAATTTACTTTTTTATTTTTACTTTTCCTTAGTTTTTGTTCTACAGAACTGACGCTTTTGAGCACAGTAACTTAAATCTTCCTAGAAATTGGATAAAATAATCATCCAGTTGTTTTGTTTCCAGACGAAGTAGTAATAGTGTGAGGTGCACACAGTAACAGTACAAATAAGTCTCTTCTTTGCTGTTACTCAGAGTTCAAACACTCATCAGGCATCAAAACAAATGATTCTCGGTTGTGCATGCTTAGCTCCATCAGTGTGTGGCCACTGGTGCATGGGAAAGACGACTGGCGGCGTAACGATTAAGTGTAGCGGTTGTGAATGGTGATGGTGTTGTTGCTCCTTGGGCATTCCACATTGCCTCGCGGGGGACACACGGCCATAGCCAACATCAATGACAGCAGTAGCATTGCAGCAGCCAGGTGTGTGCTCATGGCCTTTTGTAGTGAAAACCATTTGCAAAGCGTTTATTGATCAGAGCCTGCCATAAGTGCTCAGGGTATTACTAAGAGCTCTACTTTGCAGCTACATAAAGTCGCACAAATGCCACAAACGCCGATCAGTTTACCAAGTTTCACATCTTGCACACTGAGTTTTTTGAGGTTTTGCTGTATTTTCCGGCGTGTTTGCCGCACTTTGAAACTCTTTAAAAAGAAACTCAAAAATCGCCCCTGCGGCTTAGACTCCGAATACTGGCCATGAATCACCCAGTGATATGGCGTGCCATGCATAAAATGCATGTATGGTGTCATTCTACTACTTTTATGTACTTTTTCATGCACAGAAATCCATCATTGCAGTTGTACGATGCTTCTGTGGTGTCGGATCAGAGTCAGGGACAGACAAAGAAACCTTTGCTGCAACTTCAGTTGTGCTTCTCAACTTTTTAACCTTTTGTTGTAAACGTCTTGTATACACTATTACCCATCAAGTTTGGATGGCCAAATATTCAAAATTTGACGTGCGGCTTTTACTCCGAATGTCGAAAATGATGCGAATTTTGGGCCTGAAAAAGGGCGGGGTGTTTGCGGCGTAGACCCCGGAATATACATTAGCTGTTTTGACCTTGTTAGATCTCATGCTACAAGTAAGAAGAAGGACACAGTTCAGGCTCTTCAACAACATCTTTCTCTGTGTGTTCGTCTGCATTATACCGTGTGACTCGCCTTTCTAGATCATCGGCAACTTCAACAAGCTGCAGAAGCTCAGCATCTCCAACAATGAACTGGAGCATTTGCCAGATGCCATTGCAAGACTAACGCACTTGCAGGAGCTCAATGTCAGCCACAACACTGGTGAGATGAGCTTTGATTCAGGGGCGTAGCCGGTCCCCATTTTAGGCTGTGCACGGTCGCATATGTGTAGTATGGCTGGGGCATTATGTGCACGGCAACTGCACGCTGAACGTAGGCCGGAATTTTTAGGGGGGGGGGGGGGGGACTGGAGGATGCACGTGCCCCCCCCCCCCCCTCGTGCCCTGTGTGGGCTAGTCACCTGTTGCTTGTATAATTTTTTAGTTTGCTTTCTATCGGAAGAAAATGCTGTAGCTTTGGTTGAGCAGACAGTCTAATGCCGGGTTCACACTGGGCCGATTTTTCGGCCGATGTTCCGACTCCGATATGAAATCGGCCGACTGTGTTGGACGTGTTGGATGTGTCCTGTTCACACAAGCGATTATGGTGTAGGCCTGTCTAGTGCGCACTCGCACACGTGGTACACAGCCGCGCAGGACCGTACTAGACTCTAGAGCGGAAGTGAGATCTTTTCACATGAGCTACAGGGCCGTAAGCGTGAAAAGACTAGCGTCTAGTAGTGATCCACTGCAGCCAGTTGACGATCTGCATTGACGCTCTCTGCTGTCATGGTGAGACGCCATCAGTGATTGGTCGGAGGCCCGCTTCACCACGTGCAAGCTAGAAATCGGCCGACTTTGGCCGAATAACGACCAGTCGATACTTGTCGACAAATTGCATGACAAGAAAGTTGCACAGGTTTGACGGAACCCTGTACAACAGCTCAATTCACATCAGGTGACTTCGCGCGACGATCTTGAGGATTTTTCGTACGATTCCATGTCGGCCGAGAATCGGCCTGTCGTGAACGCGGCATTAGTCAAACATAGCTGAATGTGACGTGTGTGCTCGTATGCGCTCAGGCCAATAACAGTTTGTTTCCTGGGTTACGCGTCGGCAACTCTCATCCCAGGTTGTATTCAACCATACAGCCTCTTTCCGAGTCACTATTGCCATGTGTTTGGGGAGAGCCATGCGTCTCTTCATCCCGGGACGAGTGCGACTTTGTGCTCCCGGCCCAAGCAAGAAACTTATATTCTACAGTTTCTGTAGCTAGTGATCATGCAGTGTAATTCTAAGCTTTTTTGTTTCTAGCTCTTTGTAATCACCGTAAGTAAGGTAATTGTATGGGTGGGTAGAAGCCACTATGAGCTCGGGGCATAAGCAGGCCCGCCGGAACCCGTCTGGTCGGTCATGTCATCACCGCACCAAGCTTTTGGGCACCACTGTATGTTCGCTGGGGAGGAGGTTATGCGTATCCACTATATTAGACACAACATAGGAAAATGAAAAGGGGCTCCCCTCACCATTTCCTATGAAATCAAAATGAACCGCCGGAAGCAGTTTTGATTGGTCCGGTAGTATCACGGTCTTTTATACAGTTTGTATATGATATGGCGGGTATACATGCCCTCCACAGTAGGAACACGTTTTTTGGTGTCCAAAGGGTTCGTCCGGTGATAACCTGACCAACCGAACCGGTTCTGGCGGGCCTGCATTCCAATAGTATGTACAGTCAACTTCGCGTATAACGACACTCGGCGGGGCATCAGAAAAGTGTCCTTATTCGCGAAGTGTCGTTATACCCGAAGTCTCATTATAATGTATTACATTTGGATGTGACTTTGCTCTGGGCATGGAAATTCTGTCGTTATTCGAGAATTGTTATATCCGCAGTCGTTATTAGGGACTGTATTACCAATCCCTTATTCCCCTGGTATGTTCGATCGTGTGCACTGTGCCTTGCAGGCTTGGTAGAGGTACCACAGGAGGTGCAGTCATGCAAGAACCTGGAGGTGTTGGACATCAGCGCCACGGCAGTACAGGCGTAAGTGTATGCTCATGCAAGCAGTGCATTATCTGCATTCTGTGCTCTGCATTTCCCTCCGCCGAACCGCCGATTTTGAAACCGAAAATATTTCACCACCGAAAATTTCTGCCTGTCCAGTATGTTACACTGGGGATGCTCGTATGGTAGGCATCTCAATCCTGATGACCGTTAGCGGTTACATGCTGTGTATGTTTTGTGAGATAGGCGTCCGGCCCGTGTCTGTTCCGCCTTGTTTGGCCCGCGCACATGCCAGCCCCCACCTTCCCCTTAGAGATATGGTACCGCGGTTTGCTCTGGGAGCCAAGTTAGCTCTTTGAATGAATTCTGAGTGTTGCTATGCGGGCACTGCCATGAGAGATGTGTAGACTTCGATCCACCTTGACTTGTGTGACAATGACTTACATTAATTTTGTGTGTTCACTATATGCATGTGTGTATGTGTGTGCTTTTGTGTGTTTGTGTGACGTGTGTGCATGTGTGACGTGTGTGTTCTGTGTGTATGCACGCCTGTGTGTGTGTGTGGGGGGGGGGGGGCATGTGTGTGTGTTGCACGTGCGTGTGTGGCTCTGTGTGTTCCCCTGCTCAACTAACCAACATTGCGTTGGCGCCGTCTCAGCTTGCCCGACTCTATGACGCAGATCAGCACGCTCACGCACCTGACCATCAATGACTCCGAGCTGAAAAGACTCCCGTCGGATTTGAGCGGGTGAGCCTACCTACACTAGCCATGTGTACTCTAGAATGCGGTGTGATATGTTGGGCAGTGCATCACCAGCTGCGAATTGATTTGCACACCTGATCTGGTTTTGAATACTACACTCAAACTCAGCTCCATACAGTGATGTACTTTAGCCCCATGGCAGTCTGTTGCATGAATAACTACGCGAGGTGATGCAAAGCGAAGGGCAAAAGGGGGGGGGGGGGGAGGAATGGAGAATGTGCAGAACCAGGAAGGAGACGCTGGAAAGAAACCAAAATGATGACCCAGAGCCAAAAGCCGATGGAGGACGGCGCTGATGCAACAACCTCCAGGCAGACTGCAGGCAACAGAAACTGTATAACCGGGGGCAACGAGCACTGTGTAAAATAGTAGGCCCCCTACAAAAAAACTCGTGCTAGAGCGCCGCATCCAGAACCTTGTCACTCTTTAGGCGTTGCATGCGTTGATTAGTAACTTGCTGGGGTCTGGTCACGCAGCTATACCCTACTCAATAACTCTCGGAGTGGACTGTGCTCCGATTTCTGAGTTGGCGATGGCGATGGCAGCCTTCAGGTCCGTGCAGAGATGGTCAGTTGGTGTCGTTAGTATATTGGCGCAGCTTAGGGGTCGTCACAAAAGTTATTTTGTCGTCCCTGAAACGAACATCATTGGAGTTTTTTTTTGGCGGGGGGAGGGGAGGGGGGGGGAGTGAGAGCCAAAATCGCAAGTCGATCGACACTATACATAATGGCATGTACATGCATGTGATTTTCGTCATCCAGCATAGAAAGCTGCGTTCGATTCAGAGGGAAGGGAGGGTTTCCGGTACGAAATGAATGGTGTTTTTTTTCATTTCGACGGAAAGCGAACGCGACAACCCCTCACTGGGGTGTCCCACCGCTTGGTGCATTGCTTTCTGGCTCACTATGCGCTATGGGGCCACAGCACAGTAGGGGGTCAGCAGCCCAGTGCCCAGTGCTGAGCAGACAACTTCCAGTGGGACGGTACTGAGCGGCTTGGGAATACGAGTAGGCGCGTCTGAGGCAGGCGTGTTGGGCTTGAGGGCAGGAGCGGGTGTCTTCATGTGTGCTGCCTCTAACCTTCCTAGCCTTGGCTAGCTGGAATAGTGTGCTCAGTACGCAAATGCGCAGAGCGGTACTCGTATTGAGTGGTTTCATGTCTCCATCATGTGACTAAATCTGTGTAGAAATTGAACATGGCACGTGGCCTGTGGAACCGACATGGCTCTCCTGTAAAGTCACGTGATAGCTATGAAACCACTACATACAGAAACACCGGTTGTATACAGTTGTACAGCCGCGCAGCTCCAATATTTCTGTATTACCTGATGTGTATGTACAAGTATGTGTGCCAGAAGGACTTGCCATCCCCATCCCCACCTCTACCCCGTGTCCAAAATTAGCAATGAGAAGTGCGTTTCATGGATTCCTCTTTTTTTGGCCCTAGTACGGTAATAACGTAGTATACAGGTAAAATGGGAGTATCTAGGTGGCCACTATGCTGCAGCTGATAACGTAGCTAACGCACTACTTCTGTATGCATACGACTAGGAGAGATCCACGGGGAGGGATTGAGTCATGCCAGGGGAGTAGCATGTCACTTAGCGTCAATTGCCCAGTCGGGATGTATCCAGTGGGGCTGTGGCAGCAGCGGCGTAATTGCCCCGGCTCTATTTGTCCCTGAATTGCCCGATGCGTGGATGAATGCTTGGACTGGGTACCCGTAGTTTTCTCCACCGTGCCGTGGGGTTCACCTATCTGCGTATTGAGAAGGTATCACTGCTAGTTTGAATGGTGAAACGATATGAAGAGTACTAATTCGTTGTTGCTATTTTCATCTGGTCGGTCCATTTATAGTAGTAACAGGTTCTCCATTAGCACTACCATTAACCTTGAGAGTAGCGATCGTGCTTGAGAAATGTGCCGTTATTCGCAAGTTGTCGTTATTCGTGAGTTGTCGTTATTCGTGAGTTGTCGTTATTCGTGAGTTGTCGTTATTCGTGAGTTGTCGTTATTCGTGAGTTGTCGTTATTCGTGAGTTGTCGTTATTCGTGAGTTGTCGTTATTCGTGAGTTGTCGTTATTCGTGAGTTGTCGTTATTCGTGAGTTGTCGTTATTCGTGAGTTGTCGTTATTCGTGAGTTGTCGTTATTCGTGAGTTGTCGTTATTCGTGAGTTTGAAAGTACACGTACTAGTACTCAGTCAATTAGTCACTAGTTGTGAGAATTGTGTCGTTATTTACGAGGTGTTGTTATGTCCGGGTTATTTCCGAGTTTGACGGTGCTTGCTCCTGTGAAGCGTGGCTGGTGATCTGTTCCTGCTAGTGCCTACAAGGTGCTAGTGCGGTCTCACCTGAACCCGGTCCGCAGCCTCATGCCACTATAGAAAGTGCTGTACCGTTCTGCCCAACGAACCGCCGTGTGAATGACAGATTGAAGACGTTTGGCGGGCTTGTGGGTAGCGGCGTTGCGTGATGCAGAGAGATGGAGGGCAAGGGGAGGTGTGTGTGTGTGTGGGGGGGGGGGGTGGCTTTAAAAGTCTGCTATTGCTCTCCCAATATGCTTGGACACGAGTCAAGGTGGCCATACGCATACATGTAGTAGTTAAGGTTCTATTCTTTTCCCCAAAACTTATCTCTGAAATGTTGTGTATGTTTGCCCATGTGCTGCGTTTTGTTCAGGTTGTCCAACCTGAGAGTGCTGGAGGCACGTGAAAACATGCTCAAGTTTCTACCGGTGTAAGTGCTGCCAATGCCTCCTGTGGACATGATCATAATTATGATGTGCTAGGCAGCTGAAGGCACTTGTGTGTATGTGACAAAGTGTGCACGCACACACGCACGCATACACACACACACACACACGCACTGTACTGTACTGTATTGACAGCTACCCTAACGGGTCACGCCGCCCTCCACCCAAGCATGGGTATGATGGGGGGGGGGGGGGGGCAGTGGCAACAAAAACAAAAAACAGCAAGCAGAGAGAGATAGCAGGAGAAAGACAGCGATAGTAGTACATCTGGTGTGCGACGTATAGAAAAGAGAGATGACACACACACACACACACACACACACACAGCACACACCGAGCCGTGTAGTGGAATCGACTCTGCACTGTGGATGCGGTGAATCAACTGATATGGATGCAGCTAACAAGGTCCCCCCCCCCCTCTCCCGTCGGGCACTTGTCTATGATGTTTACCATCTCATTGTTGCCGCTAGGCGCTGCACCGACACCCAGGTATTATAGTATTATTTTCAGGCCCGGTAGTGGTGGCCTGGCACGCGGCAAACATCCTAAGCTGGTCGTGTCTCCCCAACGCTATTGTAGCCGGTGGCAGCATGAGTGTGGAAACTTTACTCACTTTACACGGCATTTGTAGAGAAGGGACATCAAAGCGTTGTTGTGGTTTATACTCCGAATTTCACGCGTTAATCAGATGGCGCACCAGTTTGCACTGTTAAATTTTGGCAGTTGCGACTTTGGCGGTTTTTATCAGGTTGGTTGCTTTCAAGGTGGAGCTCGGTTTTTTAGTGCTAAATAGCTGACACTTGGCTTAGGTTGTGCTCATTGATTTTTCTTCATGTGTTCAATATGTCCTTGCACAGGTCAATAGCCAGTCTGAAGCGTCTCCAGCGCCTTGACCTCGGTAGCAACGAAATAGAGCAATTGGTAAGCTGTACACCGTACACTGTCACTCTCGGTTGCTATGGAAATGTTTGAACGATCGCTTTCCATGACAACCGATTCACCGGTCTGCACCCTAACAAAGGTTGCCACTGTGTCTGTACTAATATTGTGGAAATAAAGGGTGAGCAGCAGTATTCGGCCCTGTGCAGATATTTCCATCAACCACCATCCGCCACACCATGACTGTGCCCTCCAGGAATTCTGCGCTGCGAATGTGTCGCTTTGCTGCTGGTGTGCTGAGGCAACGTGTCCAGGTCGGCTGGAGAGCGCAGTTTTGGTGTGGCGGATGATGGAAAAATATTGTGAAAGCTCATGATAACGGTAAAAAAGGAGAAGGACACAATGTTACGAGTTATGACTAACTGTCCACCAACAGTTAGTCATATCTCGTAACATGTTGTCCTTCTCCTTTTTTTAGTAGTGACTTTTTACCATAACTGAATTGGCTCACCATCCGAGTTCAGCTCATGATAACATTCTGCCCTGTGCCGAAGCCTGTCTGGAGCGTTCTCACATATCATGTGACCAAATTAGTGCAGAAAGTGATCACGGCGTGTGGACAGTGAAACCAACATGGCCGATGTTATGCGTGGCACCACGATGTGAATTTCATGGCTTGTGCGAGGCCTAAGTGTGCGTGATTGTGAACATATATTTTTGGCTCCAACAGTAAATAATAATTATTTGCATCTCATGCAACGAAGATTTGCCACTACAGTAAAAGCTGGTGTAAGCGACCTCTTTGTTTAGCGACCGCCTGCTCTTAACCCTTTGAAGTCCGTAACTTTTTTGCTTCCACAGAATTTGTGGCAGTCACGAAAATGCGCACTCCATTTCCAACATAACTTTGGTTCTACTTCACCAATTTTGAAGATCTTGGGCTTGTTGGAAAGCTCTTGATGAGAGAAATACAATGTGCCCAAACTCGCCAAGAGCACTTTTCATTGTCCGCCACAACGCGCCCCAAACGCGAGTCCAGCTCCAGATCTGAGACGAAATCGGTCTCCTGTAGCCATTTCACTGAATCTGGCTCGGAACTGTTCAATTTTTTCGAGTAGAAGCTTACCTTGCCGTGACTTCGCGCCGCGCCGGTCCTGGCACGTGCCGCCTGTCATGAAGCTGGGAAAATCCCTTTTTTTCACGCACTGCTGACTCGCAGCACGCAGCGCAGAAAATTCGAAATGTTTGATCGCTCGCCGCTCACTCAAACTTCATCGGAGAGACTTCGGATCTGTTCGAGGCGATAGCGATTTTCTCTACCATCTCTATAGACCCTTCGATTGTTGAATTTTGTCAGGATTTGGCCGAGAACCGAAAGTTTGACTGCGCCCACACGCATACAAAATGCCCATGGTTCGACATCGAACCATGGACTCCAAAGGGTTAAGAGCCGTTTTTCCCCGCACGGACAGTTCTACACAGACACTGTGGGACCTGGTTCTAAAGACCACGTGGCTTTAACGACCGGTTTCGCCTGCACCGTGGGGTGGTCGCTTAAACTAGGTTTTACTGTATTTGCAGACTAGACTGTATCCAATCAGTACACCCATACATCTTCTTCACAACACTCTCCAAAGAGTCTCCGGGCTACACCAGTCACTGGAATGAAAATAAAAATGATCCGAATTTTATAAGAAAGGACCAACATGTTACTTGTTATCCGTAGGATCTAAATTTCTTTCTATTTCAGTGATTGGTTGTAGCCCGGAGACTCTTTGGAGAGTGTTGTGAAGATGTATGGTTGAGCAGCGGAAGTGTGTACTAAAATCTGAACCCAAGGTCGTTGGACACGCTACAGTCACTACGGTCTTGACCTTACCACTCTTTGTCCCAGGTAACCTGTGGATCAATAAAATGCACTGATTTCAGCTTCTATTATCGAAATTTTCAGGGGACGCCCACCCTCTCACGGGTAAATTTGTTCTTCAGATGGCTGACCGTACCGCCCTGAAATACCTTCCGACGCTCCTGATTCAACCTGTGTTTGTGCTATTGTGTGTCGGTGGTTGTGTTCTCGTAGCCCCGTACAATCGGGTGTCTAGTCTGTCTGGAGGAGCTAGCCCTGGACGAGAATGGCCTCACAGAACTGCCGCCGGTAAGCCATGCTCCTCACGGTGGAGTGTGCAGCATGCTTACAACACGCTTGGTATTGACTATTAACTGTTAGCATACCACTGACCACTCTCAGTTGCTATGGAAATCTGATTCTCCGGGTATTGGTGGCCGTCGCCGTGTGTTCCCTGGGGAACGAACACAATCATTTCCTTTTTTCTATTCTTCTTTGGCTTCGGGCGAAGGTCCCTAGTTTGAGTCCTGGTGGTGATGGTCAATTTTTTCTTCAGATTTTTCCCGTTTGCATTTTTCCCTCAAACCAGTGAATCTGTTTTATTTCTTCTTGTTTTTGCTTTCCACTGATCACTGGTGTGCAGCCATAACCATACGTAACCAGCGGAGTATTACACACAGCCCAGGACACTATCCGCAGGGCAGTCACACACACGGTGAACTGCAAGTGGTGCAGATGTATTGTGCCTTGTTGCAAGCCAATTGTCACAGCACTTCTGCTTTTCGTATGTCCTCACCTGCTGCAGGAGTTGAACGGTTTTGCAGCGCTGCGGGAGCTGGACATCTCCAAGAACGCACTGGTCAAGCTGCCCACTGAGTTCTGTGAGCTGAAGTCCTTGACGGACCTGTATATGTCTGAGAACTGCCTGACGGAGCTACCCGAGGAGATAGGTAGGTCTTGCCAGGGCAGGGCTGGGTAGGGCGTGCGTGCGTGCGTGTGCATATGTGTTTGTGTGTGTGTGTGTGTGTGTGTGTGTGTGTGTGTGTGTGTGTGTGTGTGTGTGTGTGTGTGTGTGCGTGTGTGTGCGTGTGTGTGTGTGTCCCATATGGTGCAGTGGTATGTGCAGCGATTTCCAATCGATAGGTTGCGGGTTCGATTCCCGACGATTATGGTCACACACGTCTTTCTTCTCTTTCTCAGACTCTTCCTGACTTTTCTTTCATTCTCCTGGGTGGTTACCAACAGCCAGTGCATGCCGGAGTATGTGGTGTGATGTGTGTGTGGGAAAAAAAAGAAAAGAAAAAAGAAAAAAGAAAAAGACCAAAAATAGGGATTCACTGGCCAGAAAAAGTCACTTCAAATAGCTGTATGGTGTAGACCAGGCTGAATAGTGACGGTCAATTCTTCAGCCTTGCAAGCTGTTGAATGGTGCAATCCCAGCACAAGTTGCTATGGCTTCTGCCGTAGCATTGCTATCATCGCCTCCGGCGATGGGCGTCAAAGGTCAAGGTCAAGGTGTGTGTGTGTGTCCCATATGGTGCAGTGGTATGTGCAGTCGATTTCCAATCGAGAGGTTGCGGGTTCAATTCCCGACGATTATGGTCACACACGTCTTTCTTCTCCTTCTCGGACTCTTCCTGACTTTTCTTTCATTCTCCTGGGTGGTTACCAACAGCCAGTGTATGCCGGAGTATGTGGTGTGGTGTGTGCGTGTAGAAAAAAAAAAAAAATGAAAAATAGGGATTCACTGGCCAGAAAAAGTCACTTCAAACAGCTGTGTGGTGGATACCAGGCTAAAAATAGTGGCGGTCAATTCATCAGCCTTGCAAGCTGTTGAATGGTGTAATCCCAGCACAAGTTGCTATGTCTAACATAGCTGTTCGCTATCATCGCTTCCGCGATGGGCATGTCTGAGGTCTGAGGTGTGTGTGTGTGTGGCCACGTCCTCAACTATCACATCTGACTATCCCTGTCCCTGTGTGTACATTTCCAGGTCAGCTGACTAGCTTGCAACTGCTCAAAGTTGACGGCAATCAGCTCACGTCCGTACCGGAGTCTATAGAAAAGTGAGTCAAAAGTTGAATGTGTTGCCAGGACACCATGCTGATATTGTTTTTAAATCACACTGCTGGCACTATGTGCTTGCTGGTGAACATGTAAGTTAGCACACACTGTAGAGAAGCCATTGCAAAGCCTACTGTCTGTCGCAAACTTTCCCTACACCATTGGCACATTGGTGATGCCAAGAGTCCATAATCCCCCAGAGTGCGCAACTGGGACGGGGTTGTGGGACGGCGTAATCCGTGATGTACGTCATTTTTGGGCGTCGGACTTGCTTCATTCCGTCGTCGCGGTTCACCACGGAAATATCACGGGCACACTTCCCCTACTCATGATGTCGCACTATGACCTGCGACACGGATTTCGCCGTCCCAGATCTGATCAGTGAAGTTGCGCACTCTAGGGGAATATGGACTCTTGGTGAGACTGTATGACCAGCAGGAATGCCATTCTCTTTGGTAGGTGCCATTTCTATCACTGCTTTGACCTACTAGAAAGCTGGACAACAGGACGTGTTAGCGGCTGCTCATATCACTAATGTGCCAATAATGAAGAGGAATGGTGCGAAAGGCCTCTTCCGAGTTACCAGTGGCGTTTGTGCTACAGGCATGTGCTAATTTGTCTTCCTCCAACAAAATCTGTATTGAATCCAATGTGTATGTGTATGTGTGTACACATGTGTGTGTGCGTGTGTGTGTGTGTGTCCGTGCGTGCGTGTTTACATTTCCTTGTGTCCAGACTAACTGAACTGAGAGAGCTGGTGCTTTCGGACAATGCGATCGACGTGAGTGCTCAGGAATTCCGCCACGTTCCGGCTCTGGTCCCTGTTGTCTATCGAACACCAGCAGTTCTAGTGCTTAGTGTGTTCTTTACCTAGCGTGCAAGTAACTAGTTTGTACGGTATATCCCCCTGTGGAACACAGCAAAACCTCTGTTTGCCGGACCCTGTACAAAACTGCGGAATCCTGTATGGAACGGACGAAAAATTTACGCACCGACGTGCTGTGGATCACACCTGCATCCCCGGATCAAGCGGAATCCTGTCATATCAGGACAGTTTCCGCTACACCAAGGGCGTGCGGTTAGGGCAGGGTTTAGTGCACATAATATCTCCCTCGTTTTGCAACGACATCTCCGGTTCTATCCATGATGTAACCGTAACTATTATGACGTCATCTGTTCTGCTCATGACGTAATGATTCTACCTTTTTTCTGTGCAGACTCTTCCCACTGGCATTGGTCGGCTGAGGAAACTGGAGTCACTGCACGCCGACAAGAATCACCTGTCCGCCATACCCTACCAGGTGAGAGCATACGTGATCAGCATACGTGATCAGCATACGTGATCAGCATACGTGATCAGCATACATGATCAGCATACATGATCAGCATGCATGATCAGCATACGTGATCAGCATACATGATCAGCATAGGTGATCAGCATACATGATCAGCATACATGATCAGCATGCATGATCAGCATGCATGATCAGCATAGGTGATCAGCATAGGTGATCAGCATACATGATCAGCATGCATGATCAGCATAGGTGATCAGCATGCATGATCAGCATGCATGATCAGCATGCATGATCAGCATAGGTGATCAGCATGCATGATCAGCATACATGATCAGCATGCATGATCAGCATACATGATCAGCATAGGTGTACAGTCACGCAGAGGCGTACCAGCCGGTCTACCCGGTCTGGCTTTGCCCGGACCACTTTTTTTTTACACAATGCTCAAAGTGCCCAGAATGCAGGGTTTTGCACCCCAGTTTCAAAAGTTTCACGGGGAGACCCCGGATCCCCACCTCCGGCCAGACCACCTCCAACAGCTGTGCTATGCGTCTGTAACGTAACTGGTCCTCCTCTGAGGGGGTGTACGGCCGCTTCACCAGAGTATTGTATCATCTGTATCATACGTGTAGCATGACCGGTGCATGTGATCATGCATGGTCATTATGTGCATGCCGAACCTAGGTCGAACTGTTTAGGGGGGGGGGGGGGGGCACACACGTGTGTGCCCCCCCCCCCCCCCCCCCAGAGACCCATACGAGCTACTCGCCTGAGTAAAACCTGCCAAGGCGACCACTCTGATAAGGCGACCACCTGCCTCAGACAACCACCGCAAAAAGGACGAAGGAGTGTAATTTCCAGTCAAACGACCCTGGATAAGGAGACCGCCTGTACACAGCGACCACATTTGAAGTTGCCGTGAGCGATGGTCGCCTTGGCCAGGTTTCACTGACAGTATCGCTAGCTCACATTGCAGTGAAAACAACGGAGTAACCTCTGATGTATACGGTGCTACTCGATGAAATCCCATCAAGCGAGTCAACACCACATCAAGCGAGTCAACACCACATCAAGCGAGTCAACACCACATCAAGCGAGTCAACACCACATCAAGCGAGTCAACAGCACACCGGGCCGGGCGGTGTGCAGTAGCCCTAGACCTGGAACCACTCGGATGTGAACTGATTCAGGGCGCCAACTTGACTCCTGTGATTGGATTTCGTTGAGCAGGACTGTATATTATTGTGAGGTGGAGAAAGCAGAAGATTTCCGCCTGTTTATCATAGATTTAGTTCACAACTTCCACACAGGCACTCTGCGGTTGACCTTGTTCACCACACCGGGCAGAAATACGATTACAAATTGTGTGTGGTGCATGTGTGTGTGTGTGTGTGTGTGTGTGTGTGTGTGTGTGTGCGTGTGTGTGTGTGTGTGTGTGTGTGTGTGTGCGCGTGTTTGTGTGTGTGTGTGTGTGCGTGTGTGCGTGTGTGTGTGTGTGTGTGTGTGTGTGTGTGTGTGTGTGTGTGTGTGCGTGCGTGCATGTGTGTGTGCGTGTATGTGTCATGGGGTGGCATTATTTCTGGTGTTTCTGTGCAGCTCGGAGACTGCACAGCTCTGCACATTCTGACGTTGCGTGACAACCAGCTGACGGATGTGCCCCGCTCCATTGGTCAGCTGACCAGCCTGCGTGTCCTGGACTTGGCCTGCAATCAGTGAGTGGACAACGATGGATATGTCGTTACTGTGTGCATGTGGAGGCTCGGTTGAAGAACGAGTGTGATGCAGCTGCATGGTACAGCGCTGGAGGACGTTTTGGACGAATTCACTAGATGGCGGTGGAGTCATTGGGTTGTGTCGCTTCTCCTGCACCCCTCCCCAATTCTCAGATCTTGGATGTTATGCCCCTTGCACAGATGTTTATGTACTGTATTTGCTTGAATACGAATCACACCTATTTACGCGGACACTAAACTACAGGGCCACTAGAGACTTACAATTTAGCGTGGCCTACCACTGAAGTGATTATATTGGACGTTTATGATGTAGCAAACCTGAAAATGGGGGTGCGACTTGGTGATATGGTATGGTGGTGTTCTTGTCCATTTTTTGCTCATGTCTCTGTCTCCCTGTTCACGTACTTGCATTTGTGCATGCACACTCGTGTTCTTTTAGGATTCAGCGCCTGCCGTACAGTTTAGCTGAGCTGAAACTGAAGGCGCTCTGGCTCTCAGAAAGACAGGTAAGTGTGTTTGCGTGTTGGTCTCGACAGCAGGGCCTACTGCGTAGCACTGCTCCGCTTGTCAATCAAACTTGCAGCTGGCTCTTGCCCACTAACTTGCCATCTCCCTTACGTCCAAACCAGGTGCGCTCGTGATCATGTGACGTCTTCTGCAGACTGTATGCAATCATGAATCATGCATCAAAGACAACATTTTGATGTTTTTCGTCTGGTGATGAAACCACCTACCATTGGAATGTGTGCCAACATGTCCCAAGCACAACATGCCTTTCGTCTTTTGACGAAACCACCCACCTTTGTAATGTGTGCAGGCATTCTGGGCACAACAGTTCACAGTTGTGGGAACACTTTGTGTCAAGCATCATGCCGCAAGATGTACACTGTATGCTGGTGTAACTACATCCACACCTTGCTGTCAACGGGAAGCTGTTCTAAGAAATCATGTTAGGCCAGCCGCCACGGCTACACCACTCGCTGCAGTTGGCCCGGTTGGTGCCATCCTTGAAGCTCCAACCTTCTTGTACTGTACATGCACAGTCAAACCTCGTTAGGACGAACTTCAAGGGACTGAACAAATTTGTTTGTCTTATCGGGAGTTCTTCTTATCTAGATCTGACAAAAAATCGATATACATAATCAGATGGATTGTATTTACGTGAAGGTGCATGCTGTTGTACATGGGAAGCATGTTATTCTTAGCATAAGCCAGAAACAGGTAAGTACAATGACAAAGTGCAATGAATCACGACTGTGTCGAAAGTTCGTACAACGCACTGATTGATTTGTTCAAAACACGCTTGAAAACAATTTGCATTGTACGTACAATATGACCTCGACTATTGAAAAAAAGAAGAAGAAAAAAGGCAGCCAGCGTACGCGCACGCTCGTGGACCGAAAGTTCGTACTACATGTACATGCCCACACTGACTTTGTTCAAATCACACTTGAAAATAGTTCGTCTTCGCGAAAGTTCGCTGTACAGAAGTTCGTCATAAACGAATAATTTTGACTTGAATTGATGCCTGGCCAACCATAGGATTGGCCTTAGTTCGTACTAATGGAAAGTTCGATTTATCAGTGTTCGTCCTAACGAGGTTTGGCTGTAGTGCGCTGATCACTGAAATCCACTGGTGCGGGTCAAGTTTGCGCCTTGCACCAGTTAACTCCCCCAGTGTTTTTACGGGTCTAGGGCTGCACAACGCCCGGCGCGTACTTGACAGTCAGATTTCGTTGAGCAGCTCTGTTTGTCCGCTGCAAGATCTTTGGCAGTGCCGTAAAATACCGTTGATCCGCCCCCCAAGCCATGTCGTTTCCCAGCTAGTTTTCCGGCAGAAGGCGGGAATTAGATCAAGTTGTTCAAGTGCAGTACGATGTACAACAAAGCGGAAGATCAGACCTGGCATGCTGGATTGTGCGCATTTTCATCCTGTACTTGCACGTATTGTGTACAGCAGTGCTAGGGTCGGTTCAACATCGTATTTAGTTGTATACGCCGATGTCGCTTCACAGGCAGAAATTCAACAGGGGGCGGGAATTAGAGCGGGGGCGGATCAGCGGTACTTTACGGTACTCGCGCATGATCTCTTGACTGTAGGAATACGTGGCTAGATGATGGACAGCCTCTGTCATAGCAATAACACATCCCAAGCCAATTTCTATCATGTTTTTTCATGTGTATGCAGAGCAAGTCTCTGCCCAATCTGGAGAAGGCTATCGACACGGATTCCGGAGATGTGTTCGCAGCATGTGATCTCCTTCCCCAACACCCCAGAGAAACAGGTAAGGGCTCTCACTGTCTTCGTGGATCAGCTACAGGGCTGGCAACTGAAATGCGACCCCTGAGCCCCTGAACCCCTGAGCCCCTGAACCCCTGAGCCCCTGAGCCCCTGAACCCCTGAGCCCCTGAACCCCTGAACCCCTGAACCCCTGAACCCCTGAACCCCTGAGCCCCTGAACCCCTGAGCCCCTGAGCCCCTGAGCCCCTGAACCCCTGAGCCCCTGAACCCCTGAGCCCCTGAACCCCTGAACCCCTGAACCCCTGAACCCCTGAACCCCTGAACCCCTGAGCCCCTGATCCCCTGAGCCCCTGAGCTCGCATCGCAAAGACCCGACACGGGATAGTAAAACTACGAAATGGAGACTGCTAGAATGTGAACGCATCGCTAAAGGGTTGGATTTCAGTTTGCCAGCATTGTATATAATTACTGACAGTTTTAAAGAGGAAATTATGTAAGTTTTCCGTGAATGCTGATCCCCCCTTTCTGCTACCATGAGTTTCTAATTTTCATGGGCACGTGGATATGCTTGGACTCGTTGACGGCTCTAGCAGTATTTCAACTCGCCCTCTCCCCAAAATTACAAAAACATAATTCATGCCTTTCCGAAACCGATGAAATCATTATACCGTTGTTTGTGGACTTCTCCTAATTCTGCTAGTCGCTGTTCTTCACCCAGCTGTTCTTCACTCAGTGCTAACATTTGGTTGTGAATACCGCTGTGTTAGCCCCTGAAGGCCGGACTAGGTCGAAAGCAGTCCTCACTTACAAGGCATTATTATTATTATTATTATTATTTCACAATCACGATGACATAGTGCCAATAAGCATGTGATGCGGGCGATTTTAACCAGCCATGGTGGGGACAACTGAGAAAAAGAAGGAGAAGAAAAAGAGAAAAGAAAACAAAACAAAAGGAGTACTATAGGAACCTGGAGAGAGCAGTATGAAGATTAGGCTAGCAATGGAAAACAACGAATTCAATTCAATTCAACTTAGGCGCGGGCAGAATGGAACAAAATGCAGCGAAGGTATCACGAGACTTTACCTCCTGCGGAAGCCGAGACCAATGAGAATAGGACTTGAACAGAGGGGATTTTAAAAGGATCGATGACCTTGCAAGTGGGAAATGGAGAGAACATCTAGTACGCGAGCTATTATTGAACCAGCTTAAATACGCAAGTGCATGAGGAGGAGCAAGTTGAAGCTTAATACGGTGAATGAATTTGCATGCCGAGTGGGGAAAGCGTTCTGAGAGAGGGGAAGAGGAAGCCAAAATGTATAGCGTCTGAGAGGAGGTCAGAGGGGGCATGCGAAATATTAATCGAAGTAATTTACGGTGGGTGACTTCTAACCGATGCATAAGAGCGGAGGATAGACCGGAGGACCAAACGAGAGAGCAGTAATCAAACAAAGGAAGAACATAAGAGTGATAAATTTGTATTCGACAACCATGGTGTAGATGGGAGATGTGAGGAGAAATGCAGCCTATCGCGGAGCAAACTCGCTTTTCAATATAGGTTACGTGCGAATCCCAGGACAAGTGTTCATCAAGAAATATACCAAGGTGTTTGTGATTTTTAACAATGTTGATAGCAATGGGATCATCAGGGAAAGTAAAAAGCCGAGTCGTAAGGAGGGTGAGGTCACTGGAGGGTCGTGGGGGGATACAAAGGATTGCCGTTTTCGACACATTGGGGCGGAGTTTCCACTTCGACATCCAGCGCACAACTTGATTAATGTGATACTGTAGCGAGTCGCAGGCTTGCAATAAGCCTGGCTCGGTTATATGGAGCGCTGTATCGTCCGCGTAGAGTGAGGTATGATCCAAACCTGCCAAATCATTAACGTATACGATGAACAATAGAGGCCCCAAGATAGAGCCCTGGGGCACTCCAGAGTGGACTGTTAGAGGGGCGGACAGGGCATGTCCAATTCGGACACTCTGTCGACGTTCAGTGAGATAGCTGGTGAGCCACTGCAGACACGTCCCGGCTACGCCAAACGCTGCTAACTTATGGAGGAGACCCCTTGTCCAGACAGTGTCAAATGCTTGACACTGTCTGGACAAGGGGTCTCCTCCATAAGTCCAGACAGTGTCAAGCATTTGCATACTTCTCATATCAACAATATCATGTGGAGCTGTACGAGGAGTCAGCCAAGTGCAGTCACTTGTGCATGTGCATGCAACTGACAATGAAGCTAAATTTGAGCGATTGCTTGGTGCAGTATATCACCTTTGCGTCTTGTCCTTGCCTTACAACAAAACCAGCATAATGATTCGGCGGAATTAGTGAAGAAGTTGGTTCTCTCTCTCTTTCCCTCTCTCTTCCAGATTCAGAGTTGGAAGATGAGCAGAATAACCGGAAACCGATTGACCCGGATGAGGAGCGTCATGTAGCGTTTGCACCAGACCCCAACAAGCCCGAGTCAGTTCCACCGATTGTCGGTGAGAAGGTGAGGATGGAAAGAGAGACTATCTCCTCTCTCTCTCTCTCTGTAGATAGTCCCAATTCCCATCACCCGCCCTGTTCCCACGGCTACCCTCTACCGGGCAGTTTGTGTATGGGTAATGGCTTCGTGAGATCTGTCAAGTGATGCGTATTCTTCGGACATTCTTGGACTTTTTTTCGCATATCTGTTTGTGCATCCAGGCCAATGTTCTGATGCGTCAGAAGACACCATACCGTAATGAGTTGAAGGAGATCAAGGAGGTGGCTCGCAAGAAGCACATGGAGGAGAAGAGAGTAAGCCAGAAAATGCCACCATCATCTGCATATCCGAATCTAGGTGTCAATGTTGATTTCATGTGCACAGAGCAAGGCAATCTTGCAACTCTGAGGACCTGCGCCGAATCTAGTTGTTGACATTGATTCAGTGTGCGCAGAGCAAGGTACTCCCGCACCTCAGAGGAGCCCCGGTGTACATGCTTATTGTCTTGTTAGCTGTACTAACACTAGGCGTGATGTGTATGATTTCCTTTGTGTGTGTGTGATCGTGTGTTTGGCAGGCATCCGTTGCTTCCAGGTCTCTGTCTGTCAGCCCCGATTTGCCACGTGAGCCGGTGAGTCGTTCGTGCGGTGTGTATACATGTCCCCCGTGTTTGTTTGAGCACATGTTGATGGGTGCACACCTTAATGCGTCTGCTTGTACAGCATACTAAACCATGAAGGCTTGATTTGACATTTGGACGTGTGTCCGGCGTAGGTAGTTCAGCACAGTACCGCCAGCTATTATCGTAGTCGGCATTTTGGGGCCCTCGAAACATTTTCAACATCTAGAGTCAATGATCGTCGCATTCCTTTAAAAAAAGTTTCTAACAATGAAAAGTAGCAGCGTACTGCCACTACCATAGCAACCGCAGCGTGTCCGACCCCGCCGCTGTGACATAGGGTGTTAAAAACGTTGACTTGGCCATTTCTGGGAAAGCTACCCAGAAATGTATGTTAGTGCTATGGCTCTTTACAAAGGAAGGTCGCTATTTAAAATGCCTATTGCAGGCGCGTCAGACACGGTTCGGCGACGACTGCGGTATTGACCGTACCACTCTTCGCCCCGGGTACCCCTTCAATCAATGAAACACACTGATCTGGGCTCTAAATTTCCAAAATGTTCGCCTCAGCACCCCCCCCCCCCCCCCCCCGAGTAAATTGTACTTCAGATGGCTGACCGTACCACACTAAAATACCTTCCGACGCGTACTATATACCTAAGCATTACCAGTTGGGCAATCCACTGTACAAGGCGTTATTCAACGCGTATAACACTTTGCTGTTGTGCTGTTGTGCTGTTGCTGTTGCTGTTGCTGGCATGCATGCGTGTGCGTTGTGCTCAGGCCGAGGCTAGCTTTGTGCGCAATCCCGGTGTCAGTCTGGGCTTCAGCGTGGCCGGAGGCACTGGCGTAGACCAGCCGTTTAGAGATGACGACGATGTAAGATTTTATGTCTTAGTTTTAAGTCTATTTTTCGCACTTTAAACCGGGTAATTTTTTACGGGATCGATTTGATGCAATTTTGTGTCCTATTTCTAGGGTTTCCGAAATTCTATCTATTCAAATTTCACATCTTATAGTATTGTCTTGGACATGGAAATCCGGTCGCACATCTAGCAGCCCCAGGGCGTTGGCCATGCAGCCGTGGATAAGCGGTGCACATACGCGCGTTTATGCGCTGCAGCATGCTGGTCGCATCGGATCAACACGTGCACTGCACGCAGCGTTCTGTACGCGCTTAGGGCGCCGGCCCCGGTCAATCGACTGGATTTCCATGTCCACGACAGTACATGTGCAGAGTTGCGGTACAGACCTATGTGTATCTACAATTGATTTGCGTGTCAACAACAATTCGAGTCTTTGCAGGACAGTTGTGTTCGTCCTGCTCTGAATACACTGTGTATATTGCATGAAGGAGAATTCTGTACGAGAGTCGCTGCTGGTCCAATGCCGTGTTCCTATTGTGGCAGGAGCACGCCGTTATAGCTAGGATATTACCTACCCAACCATCGGACCAGCGAATAATCTTGTGTTCCACTTTCGCGGCATCACCCCCCACGCACACAAAGACACACATGTTGTACCTGCGCCTGTGTCACGACGTTGACATGATGTTCAACGTCATGAGATTATTTGCAGTACACGTCATAGTTTGTGTTCTCTACCCCGGTTTTGTTTCCGCGTTCCCACACCGAAGCTGGGCCGCGTGTTTATTATTTCTACTGACTCACTCACCTCTTGGCGACTTCCTCCATGTTTTTTCCTCCTTTTTTCTCTGCGCAAGCGCCTTGCGCTTTAGTCGTCGTCTTCTTTCAGTTCACAGCAAGAACAATAATTATTTACCTCTTGTGCAGTGTCAGTCAAATTCAGTCAAATCAAGCTCTCCCGATCCCAAGAAACTGTCTGGCGTGTGCACAAAGTGGTGCCGAAACCCGGGACATGAACCGCACCGGAGCTCGAAACGAGCCGTGCGTACCATTCCAATCTTGAGAAAGATAGACTCGACTCAAATAATTTGTAAGCAGCTTGCCCGATTTGGGTCGTCGAGCTAACATGCCGAAGAGAGCAGTGACGACCGGCACGCAGATCATGCGCCGGGCCAAGATCGCGCAGCTGCAAGGATCCATCGACGAACTCGTCAAAGAGGCCGAACTCCTTTTATCGAAGGAAGGAGGTCAAAGGGCCGACGAGTTGTCGCCAGAACACGTGGACTCGGATCCAAAAAAGCTAAGTACACTTGTGGATTGTATTGTTGAAGAATTGTACGCATATGATGAGGCGTGTGATGCATTGGCCAGTGTTTTGGACTCGGAGACTCTGGAGGGTTCAGATGAGGCTCTGCAAACGGAGATCTGCGATGTGGTTGCGTATTCGGTACGCATCAGAGGGTCAATTGTTGAATGCAAGCGATCTCCGCAGTACAGAGCCCAGACGAACCGTCCAGAAGCTGCTACTACTAGTACTAGCTCACCAAGTAGCACCAAGAGTACGGGCAGTGCGGGTATCAAACAAGAAACTAGTATGGTTGATTTGTCCAGCATCCAACAGTCAATAGGAGATCTTGTTCGTACGCAGTCTATTACACATAGTCAACACCAGCAAGTATTACAGTCGCAAGAGGATCTAATCAAACAACACCAACTAGTCGTACAACACATGCAAGCATCATCACCTCAACCACAACCAGCTCCCACAAGTTCAGTCAAATTGCCCAAATTTGAAATACCAACATTTTCTGGTGATTTCCTGAAATGGGCTGAGTTTCACGATATGTTTGTTGCGTCTATTGATGCGAATCAAGGGTTGTCGGGTGTCCAGAAACTGTCGTACCTAAGAGATCACGTAACGGGTTTGGCTCGGGATGCCATAGCTGGCTTGCCCATATCAGATACCAACTACACAACCGCGCTTGACATTCTCCGCAAACGTTTCGGGAATGATCAGCTTCGCGTCAATGCACACTACACGGCAATCATGGACTTACCGCCTGCGTCCAACGCTACTCCATCTTTGCGTAGGTTGCACGATGCGTTGGAGGTGCACTTGCGAAGCCTCACAGCGCTTGGTGAGAATGTTAATCAGGCGGTGTTTGTGTCAATGATTACGAACAAATTGCCACGCACCACGCTAGCGGCTTTGGAATTAAAAAAGGGGCCACAATCCTGGACCGTTTCGGACTTGCGCGCTGCAGTAGCCAACTTCATAATAGCGAATGAAGCGGAGGACGCTTGGAGAACGCCGAACTTTGCTATCAAGCAAAGTATCCAGTACTGATTCCCCAAACGCATCCCATCACCCAGCTCATCATCAACGATTGTCACCTGATGACGATGCATGGCGGCGTTGCACACACGCTATCAAGACTGCGTTACGAGTACTGGTTACCACGAGGGCGTGCAACAGTGAAGTCATTCATCACTAAGTGCCTGACTTGCCGGAAGCACCACGGTGGTCCATACCGCACCCCAGATATGGCCCCGCTTCCATCTGCCCGCGCAACAAGATCTATCCCGTTCACCCATGTGGGACTAGATTACTTCGGTCCTCTGCTCGTCAAGCACCAGCCAAGTACCAAGAAGGTATGGGTCCTCCTAGTGACATGTATGGCAACTAGAGCTGTCCATCTAGAACTGGTGGCAGACATGACCACAGAGGAATTCCTGCTAGCGTTCCGCAGGTTCGTGTCGTTGCGTGGTTGCCCTGAAGAGGTAGTGTCTGACAACGCGCCACAATTCATCCTAGCTAAGTCTGTTCTGGATGTGGCCTTTGAAGAAATGGCAACGAGTGATGATGTCCTGTCGTACATGTCGAGGACTGGTGTGAAGTGGCACTATAACCCACCGATCTCACCTTGGATGGGTGGTTTCTACGAGCGTCTCGTTGGAACAGTCAAACGAAGCCTGAAGAAGGTCGTTGGCCGCGCGCTCCTCACTGTGTCGCAACTGACTACCATTCTCATGGAAGTGTCAGCAGTCGTCAACTCGCGTCCACTGGTGTACGTGGACAATGACTTGCAGGAGATACTCACCCCAAGTCATTTTCTGTGCCTGTCCGCAACTACTGGTGGCGTGCAACCCACTGCTGATGACGGCGATCCGGACCACATCGAAGTTCCGACTGCAGCTCAGAATCTTCTCTCTGTCTGGAAGAAGGGTCAACGAACATTGGACCAGTTCTGGCGTGTCTGGCGAGACGACTACTTGGCTGATCTCCGCAACAGTCACACTCGGAAGCTCCGACAGGCACGCGTTACCGCTTCAGAACGGCCAGCCGTTGACGATGTTGTACTAATAAGGGATGACATGCCCCGTGGCTCATGGCGACTTGGTCGCATTGTCGCTCTCCATACAAGCAAGGACATGGAGATACGTTCCGCAACCGTCATCACTGCAGAGAAGACAGAGCTCAAACGACCCCTGTCTCTCCTGTACCCTATCTGTCCTGCTGCTAACTCCGAGGCTAACAACAACAGCACCGCTCCGGACACACACACCACTGGCCAAGCCGATCTGCCAGTTCCAGCAGCTGTTGCTCCACCCAGTCGTCCACAACGTGCTGCCGCTAAGAAGCAACGTCAGACGCTTCGCCAATTAATTGGCAGCGAACTTGTTTAGTTGAATCAGCTAGACAGTTGGTAGTTCACATCTGAACTCTCTCTTTCTCTCTCTCTCTCTCTCTCTCTCTCTCTCTCTCTCTCTCTCTCTCTCTCTCTCTCTCTCTCTCTCTCTCTCTCTCTCTCTCTCTCTCTCTCTCTCTCTCTGTGACGGTCTACTCTCTTTCACCCTTGCGTATGTTATATGCACTTATTGTGTTTTGTTTCCACGTTACTTTGTTACGAATTATCTCCTTTTCTCTGCATCTCTTGCGGGGGAGTGTCACGACGTTGACATGATGTTCAACGTCATGAGATTATTTGCAGTACACGTCATAGTTTGTGTTCTCTACCCCGGTTTTGTTTCCGCGTTCCCACACCGAAGCTGGGCCGCGTGTTTATTATTTCTACTGACTCACTCACCTCTTGGCGACTTCCTCCATGTTTTTTCCTCCTTTTTTCTCTGCGCAAGCGCCTTGCGCTTTAGTCGTCGTCTTCTTTCAGTTCACAGCAAGAACAATAATTATTTACCTCTTGTGCAGTGTCAGTCAAATTCAGTCAAATCAAGCTCTCCCGATCCCAAGAAACTGTCTGGCGTGTGCACAGCCTGCACGTGTTATCTCTTCGTCGTAGCTGCTGCTGTATTTGTGTCTCTGTGTGTACATGTGGCTGCACGTGTTGTCTCTTCGTCGTAGCTGCTGCTGTATTTGTGTCTCTGTGCTGCTGACCCGTACATGCTGCTGCGCTGCTTTGTTGCTGACCCGTACATGCTGCTGCGCTGCTTTGTTGTTGACACGTGCACCTTTTTGTGCTGAGTACACCACCTTTTGTGCTGACGAGGGCACCAATTTCTGATATCATGTTTTCCTTTTGCCATGTCGTCGTCAGTTGTCAGAGTGAGTTGTCAGTCGTTCGTTGTCAGAGTCAGACGTTTGTTGACAGTCGTTAGTCATTCGTTGTCAGTGTTAGTTCTCCATTATGAGTTCTTCCGTCGCCGCTTGAAGTAAACTATGAAAAACTCTCTCTCTAGCTCTAGAGAAAAACCACTGACTAGTTCGTTTTGAGGTGTGGCGTGGCGAGGATAGAAGAGGCAGTTCGTTCTCAACCTTCCGAGACGACACACACATGCCCACATGCACTCACACACGTGGGTGAACCTCTCCTCCTTTGTACAGGGCTACTACTCAGCTGTAGATTCTCAAGTGCCAGTATCAATACTCTATGGCCGGATGTGTGCGGGTGGGTGGGCGTGTGCATGCGTGCATGTGTGTGTGCGTGCATGTGTGTGTGCGTGCATGTGTGCGTGTGTGTGGGTGCGTGCATGTGTGCGTGTGTGTGGGTGCGTGAATGCGTATCTGTGATTTTTGTATGACAAGCAGGGTGTGTTCATCACCAAGATAAAGGACGGCGGTCTTGCTGAAGAGTCCAAACAGTTCAAACTCTGGGACAAGATCCTCAAGGTAAGGCCAGTAGACAAGACAAACATGTTGGTATAGTTGATTGGAAACTAAGCGAACGAGACAGCAAGCGACATAATCCAATGCCAATGCGTGCCCCTCTCCCTCCCCTTCAGAGTCGTCGGAACCAGTGCGGCAGATGCGGCCAAAGCCGCACCAATAATTTCATCTTGGGATTTTGGAAGCAATAGAATATGGACTTTATGGGCCCAATTTCTCTAAAATTTTCCCGGGGAGGACCCCGGACCCTCCATCCATCCATGCATGATGGCACCAATGTCGAATACCTTCCGACGCCCCTGCCCTTTCCCTTGGAGAATGTGCTGAATGAAGGTGTGACTGTATGATCTAGTCACAGTCATGCCTCATAAGTAAAACATGAACAACCATCAAGAGCCTTGGAATATGCCATCATGTTCTAAGTTTTAACACGTGTGTAACTATACATATTCCAAGAGCTCCGTTCTAGTTTTATACACGTAGAGGCTATGCGAATGATTTTTTCGCCGGGTGAGTCGGCGGATTTTATAACGGGTGCTACGTATGCGGCATGAGCTGCTAGTGCAAGACTTGTTGTTGTGTTTATTTTAATTCGCAAACCAAACGGGCAGATATTCCCAATGAAAAGGTGGCTTATTAGTGCATGGGTGTACCGCGTCTTTGCCAATGCATCTCAACTGATCGTGATGATGTCATCGCATGATGTCATCGCATAACCCCTATATTAGAGTGGAAGTTACATACAACTGGGCACCTACTAGTACTTGTGTACGACGCTGTACTTGCTGCTGTTTGAACGTACGTGTGTGCGCAGGTGAACGACTTCACCTTCGAGGGGATCAGCCACGACGAGGCGGTGCAGTTCCTCAAGACAGCGCACGGCAAGCTGCAGTTCCAGCTGATGCGCGAGATCGAGCCGAAGGAGGGCGAGCATTCGGCCGCTGTGTCGGCCGTACCGGGAGCAATGGTGAGCGGGCCGGCTGACTCCGATGCCAGTATGGTCATTCACGATGACCCGCCACCGCCAAAGGTAGAAAGCTCTGCTGCTGTGGCCGCCGCCGTCGCCACCGCCGCCACCGCGAAGGATGATGATGCACAGGGTCACGAGAAGCATGAGGTATGTAAACACAAACAAATAGACACGCGTACACATACACACACCACACACATGCTCACTCACACAAATATACACACACACATTTATTTAGTCGAGCATACATGCACAGGTGTTTCAATATTGTCTCCTTCTGCGCATGCTGCAGGGCCGCTCCCTGGCTCACGCATAATTCGCATGCAAACTGTCCGTGTGCACGCTTCCCACAATTGCCGTATGTCTGTGTAGTGCAGATTCCGGCGTATGTGCGCGTGACACCTCGAGCGAGCAGACTATACTACTCGTATTGACATCTGCTTGTCTGCATATACAGTACTACATGCAGTACCATCTGTTAGTCACTGCAGACCAGCCCGGCATGCATGTCATCTACTACAGTGCTGCTCAATGAAGTCCCATTTCGCGAGTCAAGTTTGAGTCTTGCACCGTTTCTCAGCGCATTGTTCACAGGTGTAGACCCGGCGCATACTTGACTCGCGTAATCGGATTTCATCAAGCAGCACTGTAGCAGCTCGCTGGTTGATTGTACTCATTGCAGATCCGGTGCACCTTCTCTTACGTTGTAATGTCCTGCGTAACAGCTAGGACGTGTGTGTGTGGGTAGATGTATGCTCCAAGCTCTGGTTAGCACTTTTATCCTTTCATACTTGGCTGATGCTTTCCCGTCAAATACAACACCATACCGTATTTTCCGGAGTATAGTGCGCACTTTAGATGTGATATTTTAGGCCCTAAATCGCAGGTGCGCACTATGCTCCGAATATGAAATGCATGTACTTCAATGAAGATTGAAGTGCGCACCCCCAATGAAGATTGGGGGTGCGCGTTATACAAAGGTGCGCACTATACTCCGAAAAATACGGTACCAGTGAGATAGGGTAAAGAAGCAAAAGAGAGCAGAGAGAAGTAGTGGCAGGGTCGCACAGGGCCGCCAGTGGGGCAGACCTATATACCATCTCGGCATAATTGGTAGACTTATGCTCAGTGCATGGAGGTATTGGTATAAAGCGGCTAATCCTGTCTGTGTGCAGCATGACATAGACCAACACTGATGTACATTATATGCTGGACTAGGCTGTTCCGATCGATTCCTGGCCTGTCTGCATTTCAGCCTTTGGGGGACCCGCGTGGAAGGAAGTGTCACATCCTTAGCTTGCCTGCCTGCATCGCAGCAGTGATGCATGTCCACCGTGACACCGCGACACCTCAGCAAACCTGTTCCTTTCTCTGCCCTAGAAACCATGTCTGGAGGAAGTGCTAGCATCCTGAGAGCGTGCACAGCATGCCGTGTGACACACCGTGTGCGCTACACCTAGCTAGACCAACAGCAACAACTATTGTAATAATGAGTGACTAGCTTGTAGCAAGATTTTGTGAGCGAGCTAGCGTACCACTTCACGCTTTAGCCATGAGCTGCTTGCCCTGTGTGTTCTCTGGTGTCCGTGCTTTTGGCCATCACTCGTGCAAGCCAGGATCAGCTTACTGTAGTCGACCCAGAACGTCCTCGTGCTTTGTCAGCGCAATGTGAACGTGTCTTTAGCAGCTGGGCCAGTCTTACATGTCAGCACTCTGTGTTAGTGTAGCCCTGGTGTGGAGACATGCAGAAGATGTGTAGCTTGATGCCTGTGTGATCATGGTGTAACCCTGGAGAGGAAGGAAAGGGCTTTACTACTACACTTGCTCCCTGACTACTAGGGTGTCGATAGTGGCTTGCTATTACTCCCAACACCCCTGCAGCTTCAGACCGTATTGCTAGTGCACGTAGCTGGTTGCTTGGCTGGTGAACATAGCTGAGACCTGCTCTTAATTAACAGCTCTGCTCGTGATAAGTGCTGCTGGTCTTTCTGTCGGTGGTGTTCACTGGGAGGTTCGCCGACTCGTGTGCGGTGAATTGCGCTTTTTGGCTTCTTTTTCTTCTCCTGTTTAATTGTCTGTTTTGTAGTGCATCTCTGCCCGCACTGGGACATGTGTGAACCGTTGTGTGCGTGTTCTGGCGTATGTATGTCTGCTGGGGCGCATATGCATACGTTTGCAATCTGAGTGTGTTCCATGTCTGTGTGTGTGTAGAGTACCTTGGTGTGATGTGTCGACGATACTAACGATTCAAGGGGGTGATGTGTATTTGTGCGTGTCCGTGTGTGTGTGCTGCGTAGGACGAAGGCATGGAAGAAGAGTCGAAGCTGACGATGAGCAAGGAGGCGGAGGCCACTCTTGGTGACCTGGACAAGCACTTGGACGACTCCATCGCAGACAACAAGAAGGAAGAGATAGTGGACAACACCGAGGAGGTACGTACACTTGCGTAGACCGCTGCTTCTGTGTTGATGCAAGTGACTACAGCCCAATCACATAATTGCACCGCTAATAATCTAGTAGCGTGTAGGTCATGGCTGTACTTCGAAGTGCAGGGCTGTGCAATGAAATCTGAGAGCGTGAGTCAAGCCTGCGTCCTGCACCAGTGCATGTGGGTGGATGGGTTGGTGTATGGGTGGGTGTTGACTGCCATTCTTACGTATGAGTGAATCAAGTCTGCATCCTGCACCAGTGCACAGCCCAGTGCTCTCAGATCTGGGGTTGCACGGCGCTCGGCGCATACTTGAACCACCCAATCAGATTTCCTTTGGCAGTACCATAGCTACATGTATGCTTGGTGACTAGGGTTGGACACTTTCTCTAGTGTTATTGCTCTCATATTTGTGCAATTTTTAATTTTGCTCCTGAATTGTCCTCCCTGTTGCTTTGCTACCATCCTCCTCCTTCCTCCACCCTTTTTCTTAACTAACCCCATTGTCACATTCGCTTCCATGTAATTGGGCTTGTAACCCGTGTGTACTTGCGAATTCAAATAACAAATATACATACATATTACCTTTGCCTTCTAAGCTCTGACGACTTCTGGCTCTGGTGTCATTCAGGAGGTGATATTGCACCGCGTGAATCGCTCGTTGGGAATGAGCATTGTCGGTGGCAACGACAGCTCTTCACTGCCCTTCGCACCGGCAGGCAGTGCTGATGTGTTCATATCCAAGGTGCGTACATGTACTACCTTTTGGAACTGCAGGATAATGAGTGGCGGAGACTCACGCTTGTTCACGCCCATTCTTATTACAGTTAATAATTATAGTCTGGATTATCAATACAGGTTGCACGGTGCCATTAGTTGTTTCGAATTATTGGTGTGTGTAATGGCTACTGAGGGTAGCCATGTGTCGGCTCAGAGTGCATGGAGGAGAAGAGGAGGAGAGACTGTTGCATTGCCCACACAGTCCATGTCGATTCCGAGACCGGAATGGTCGGAGGAGTGCACTGCGCCTGACCAGCACAGCTTTTGCAGCACCTACTACTCTTTTTGCTGACTTTGTATTTGTCTTTGCCTCTTTCATTACCCCCATTATTTTGTAGGGATGTGCACATAGGATAAAGAAATCGTTAAAAAAATGAAAAATTATAGTCTGGATTGTTTGTTAATTTCATTTTTATTCTACTTCCACAAGACGGTTCTACTTTCAAGATTCTGTTTCTTCTGTCATCCTTGTGCTTTGGATCCATTTTCAGGTCGTAACGAGTGGCGCTGCAGACCGAAGCGGCCGCCTGCGCATGGGAGATCGTATCATCAAGGTGGACGGACTGACGCTCAGTACCCAGAGTCATAACTTTGCAGTAGCCGCTCTTGTCAACAGTGGTGACGTGGTGAAGATGAAGGTGTTCCATCACACTCAGCCGGCCGGACTCGTGCCCGTTGAGCTGCACCGCAACCCCGAGGAACGCCTCGGCCTCAGCATCAAGGGAGGCGTCGACAGTCGTCCGGGCAATCCGATCGACAAGGATGACGAGGGGATATTCGTATCCAAGGTGAGAGTCAGCACTGCTCCCAATTGCGCTTCTGATCGGCACCCCTGAGCTATTTCTGACTATCTAGAAGCATGCTTTGGGACATGCCAATACTCAATACTGGTTGGGTCGTCGGTTTCTCCAATTTGTCTAGTTTGACTCTTGATGAGCGTATTCTCGATGTGCGTGCAACATAGATCTTAAATCTGGAACTAGTATTGGTTGAAGGCCCTCCCCCCCCCCCCCTCCATACACACACATACCCAGGCTGGATCTCACATGTCCTGCAAACTAATTGGCCGTTGGCTTATCTTACCACTGACACTTGGAATAACCAAGAAGCAGTTTGAAATTGCGACTTGACAGACCTGCAGGAAAGCATCTTTCCATGCTCAATACACTGTGTTTCGGAGAGTTCACCCATCACCAGTTGACCTGGAGTATGGTAGTAGGGTCATAGCGTGTGTGCTCTGAGAACTTCTCAGAGCACAACATTTAAATGAAAAAAAAACATTTGCACTCCACCATTGTGATCGCCCAGACCAAACATCACCATCATGACTGCGTCTTTGTTTTATGTATTGTGTTCTGCGTGAACAGATCCGTGAGCAGTCAGCAGCATCCAGGTGCCCAGAACTACGCATCGGACAGCGGTTGGTGGAGGTGAACGGGCAGACTCTGCTTGGCGCAACGCATTTTGACGCTGTGGCCCTCCTGAAGGAGGCCACTAGTCCCGTCCGGTTGCTGCTCTGTGATGGTTATGATGAGAATCTAGCAAGATGTAAGTCAGGGGGCGTCGGAAGGTATTTTTGTGTCACAGATTGTTACTTCAGATGACTGACCGTACAATTTACTCGTGGGGGAGGGGTGGCTGAGCCGAAACGTTTGGAATTTAAAACCCAAATCACTGGAAATCAGTGCATTTTATTGATTCACGGGGTACTTGGGGCAAATAGTGGTACGGTCAATACCGAAGTGGCCGTACTGTGTGCAACGCCCCTGTAAGTGATGTTGGTTTTACTTGGAGCTCTAAGGGTAGCTACCTTGACAGGTCTGAATTCAATTTAAACTTGACTTGGTGGCCATGAAAATCCGACCCACGTGCCGAAAGCAGTGTCAAGGCCCGTTCGGCCCCTGCAGCCTTTGGATGGGTTTTTGGACCGTGCATGATGTCATTGAAATGGCAACACGGATTTGGTTTTTGGCACGTGTGTCGGATTTCTTTGGTAGTGCTGAGTCGGGTAGCATTTTCTCCGGGTATCGGATTCGGGTATTTTCCACAGGTAGCACTGATACCCTATCGGGTAATGTTTCCATGGTAACACCGCAATGCACCCCTTCCCTTACAGTACACGCTGGGTAGACATGCGGAGTATTACATGACTTTGTGCACGTGCACTGTACGTGATGTCATCATAGTATTATGATGTCATCTGCGACTTCGGGTTACCGGTTTTCGGGTATTATTCTGTACTCGACTATCCGAGGGGTGTGCGCGGGGCGGGTAGCACGGGTACCCGACTACCCGTGCACACCACTATTCTTTGGGTACTACTTTACCGGCATACTGACTCTACACTTGTTTGAATGTGCGTGTGAGGATGTACGTTTTTGCGCATCAAGTGTACTTGCGTAGTCCCTGGCTGTTATCACTAACTGACTTGCTCTGCTTGTGCTTTTGTTTTTGGTCTTTCACCTGTCTGTCCGTCCGTCCATTTCTCCGTCCGTCCATCCGCCTACCCATCTAACTATGTGTCCGTCTGTCTCTCTCGCTCTTGTCTGTCTGTCTGTCTCTCTGCCTGTCTCTGTCTCTCTGTCTATCTTTCTGCATGTCTCTGTCTCTGTCTCTCTGTTTGTCTGTCTGTCTGTCTGCCTGTCTGTCTGTCTGTGAATGTCCGTTCACGTCCGTGTGTTCACGTGCATTCTAATCTCACGTAGCCGTCTCACCGGCCGACTCACTGCGCGAGTCTCTCTCCCACATCAGCCCACCGTCGCCGTCCAAGCCGGAGGAGCTGCCCTCCCCGCCGGAGATGGCCAACGGTGGACCAGTGATGTCATCACAGGAGATGCTGCCACCACCACCCGACAGCAGCAGCGGTGACGACGTCATAGAACAGCAGAGCGAGGCCGACATGCCATCTCCCCCGGCCGTCGCCGATAGCTCCGACGTTCCTGCCGAGTCCGGAGAGGATCTGCCACCACCGCCCATGGAGGACTGATAACAGGTAGGCTATGCAATACACAGTCACATGGTGTGTTTCACGCCACTCAAGTGTCTTGTAGATATGGGCTTTCTGTACGCACTTAACCCTTACAGGGGCATTTTGCCACTCAATCAGCTCCCGTATAAGGTGGATTTGACGTCGTTGTGTATCCTCTGTATGCTGTGTGTATAGAGCATGTGGGGGTTATGTCGCATAGTTGTGGTTCTTTCTGCAGGCGGCGTCTCCGCTGTACAGTGGTGAAATCCTAGCACAAGTACTACCTACGATGTATGCGTCGCGTAGCTTAATTATCTTGCCACCATCACTTTGGAGAGCTGATAGTTTGTGGAAGTCAAGTCTGATACTGCTGCTGTGGAATTTGACGGGGAGTGCTCAAACATTTGACACTCAAGTACACTCATACCTCGGTTATCCGGGCGGTCCGTGGACCGGGCACTGCCCGTTACAATGAAACGTCCGTAACTCCGAATCACATACATGTTTGTGGGGAAAGGCCATAGGTATGGCATATGACATCACTATTTCCACAAAAAGTGACGAAAGAGTAGTAATATCCAGGCGCGCACGCAGGGTCGACGGAAGGGGAGAGAGAGGGGGGGGGAAGGGGTTTACATGTGGATCCGTTGTAGTAATAGCTACGTCACGTCAACCAACTCTCTCTCACGCGCGCGCGCGCGCGCGCGCGCGTCGCATGTTTCAGTGCATGCGCAGTGCATGAAGACGTCAAGTAGTAGTAGAATCTGCGACTTGACGACTCGTTGACAGCACGGCGCGACGCCCACACGCAGCGCAGTGCAGGGCAACAACAGACGAAAAACGAAAAAATCGTTCAGTCGGCTGACAGAAAGGGGGGTTTGTCCGAACCCTGTGGAACCTCCCCCCCCCCCCCCCCCCCCCTGGGTATGCGCCTGATTATTTCCACTGAAACTCACCCATATGGTGCCCGGTAGACCCGAGTACCCGTAACTTTGGGGGTCGGGTTAACCGAGTCATGAATGTACCTGTAATTTAGTTTAGTTTTGTGCCTGTGACTGAGCATACCGCCAGGTCCAGACACACATGTACGAGTGTCCATTGTCTATTTTGCTGGCTGACTGTGAAGGCCATGGCACCTCCTTAGTGGAGTGGGGTTGTGCATACAGTGCAGTTCTGTCTGACCATGCAATGAGAGGTATCTTGAGAGGTATCTTTGCTAAAAACAAATAGTTGCTCACGTGTGACTGTGCATCTTTATCTGCAAATTCTCCCTTCTGCAGACTTGATCTTCCGAACACTATCCTTGACTCAGGCCGTCTGTTTTACAAGTCCTGATCAAATGGAGATTGAAACAGACATGATGGAATGACAAACTTGCAATGGACAAGACAACGGACAGAGCAACAGAAGATATTAGAAAACTGCCCCATCCTATTTTGATGTAGCGCCGCAGCCCTCTGCACGAGTCACAATCTGGTTACGCATGCACACGCGTGCAAGCGTGGACTACCGCACTGGAGCTTACACATGCATAGCGTGACAAGCACACACACACACACACACACACACCTATCGTATCTCAACGGCTGTAAATTACCCGACTGCTTCGCAAGTCGCACACATCCCCCGTACTTTCACTTCTGTAGACATGGCTAAATGGATTGGTCTTGCCTGATTATAGTAACAGAATTGCCGAGCATTTCGTATCCTCACCGATTGCGAACGATTAAATTTCTTCAACTGTTTATGCCTGCAATAGTTCTCCCCCATGAATATACGTGTGGCTTAGCTGGAGGTGTTTTCCAGGCAAACAGGCTTCTTGTAAGTTGTAGTCTTGGCCTCTGCCGGCAGTTTTGAACATCACTCTTGCTGATGATATTTCATCCCCCCCTCCCCCGTACTTTTCTTTTAGATTTTTGTATAGCTACAAGTCTGAGTTACTGACGAAGTCTGGAGAGTATGAGTATTATAACATGCTATTAACACGCTATCTGTGCCTAAGTTCATTATGCAGGTTGCGGCCAGTAATCTAGCGTCTTGTAATGCAAGCATGCCTTGGCACGTTGTGTTCCGTGTAAAGTTCCTGATATTAAATTTAATATTGTGTGCGTAGGTGTTTTTGACAGTCGTGTCCCTAATTTCGTACAATGTTCTTTTTTTGGTGTTCCTGAAGAAGTTAGTTGTGCTCCTAGGTGCATGCCTGCCTGTGTCTGCCTACAGATGTGCTTCTTGTCTTCTTCCTGCCCCGTGCTACAGTGTCTGAATATGTGTCTTGATATTTTCCTGGCTAGGAACATGTACTTTGCAACGCTTGCAAACTGTTTCCTTTCAATGCTGTGTGTTCGCGTCTTTGCTCCCTCTCTCCGTCTCTCTCTCTCTCTCTCTCTCTCTCTCTCTCTCTCTCTCTCTCTCTCTCTCTCTCTCTCTCTCTCTCTTCTCTCTCTCTCTCTCTTTCTCTCTCTCTCTCTCTCTCTCTCTCTCTCTCTCTCTCTCTCTCTCTCTCTCTCACTCACTCTCACTCTCTCTCTCTTTCACTCACTCTCACTCTCTCTCTCTCTCTCTCTCTCTCTCTCTCTCTCTCTTATCGCTGTGCGAGGCTAGACGCTTCGCCTGCTGTCCTGTCTGGCTCTGTATTCGAAGTAGGTGTAACACTGGAACGCTTTTAGCTTGCGAAATTCTCTTTGGCGTTTTCTAGTGCTTTTCATCACCCGCGCTCGGAGCGAATGGAAGTGTGAGGTTTGATAATGTGAAGTGCTGTCCTGTTGTTGTGCCGGGTTAGGGTCCGTCCGTAAATAGAGAGGTTAAGATGCACGTTATTTCCGACGTGACGCGCAATTTCACGTTAAATTTGGCGTAAAACTCCAAATTTCGACGTGACCTACAGGTCACTCGCGTTGTTTTTCGGCGCGCGAGCTGAACTTTCGCGTCACGTCAGAAATAATGTGCATCTTTTCACCTCTCTATTATCGAACTTTTACTCTGATATGTGATGCCGGTGATGCATGTCACGTGATGTGATATAATTGTGGACAAAGATGCGAAAGTACAGCGCAGTGCTGCTCACGGAAAGTTTGTACTGTAAAATGAGAAACTTTCGCTAAAGATTAAATTTCGCCATTTTCGCGACCATCACACATTCGCGAATATAAATCACCGCAAACCTCTCCCTACACTGATTGTAGACCGTACAAGATCCGATTGAAAATATGGAATCGCAAACGTTTCTCATCGCGAACCAGCCCGATTTATGAAAACGCTAAAGTTTGTCGCTTTACAGTAGTTTTCGCCCTGTACCAGTTCACAGTCCCAGCACTATGCTCGTAGGTCTACAGTCCATTTCAAAACTATAGACGCGTAGTGTTTTGCCAAATTCGATGGGATTTATTTAAATATTTTTTGTTTTTCTCCAGATTCCGTCTCTGCATCGCTTCACAATTCTGGCTATATACTTTGTTTTCGCTACGATTGAAGTTTATTTTTAGGCCAGGTTTTCCGGTTTTACATGTAATTTCTGTTTTGAAGGGTTTGACCAGTTTGTTTCAGATTTTTGCTCCTGCTGGGACAGTGCTGCGCCCAGACCATCGCGGGTGCATTTTTGTACGGGTCCTGGTAGCCTCGTGGTTTCGATCCGTGATTTCCAGCACTGTACAAGTGTGGGGCATGCATTCGAATCCCATCACGCCTCCTGCCTTTTCTCTCTTCTTTTCTGCATGTTTTGGATCTTGTTGGATGAAATACTGTAGGGATGATAATTACCGGGTATATGTTCTCTTTTTGATGTGATTTGAGCCTCCCTGTTCCTTTCGCCTGACACAACGAGTGACAGTGGTTTCACTCACGCCAGTTGCAAGGTGAGTTCGACGACGAGGATTTCGGATACTCAAGCGTCAATCAAAATCCAGCTCTTGTTCGAAGAAACAATGAACACGACTAATCATATCTTTCTCGGCATCACTGAGATTCTTACGGGCCTTGGAAGCCATTACAGTCAGGCACTCAGAAAATGCAAACGAGAAGATTCATTTGAGACATTTCTTTTGAGACTTTCCTCATGAGCTCACACCTTTTCATTTGCGACTTGGCGTGTTTTGCATCTTTTGTATGTCCCTCGGCGACGAAGAAAACCTGAAAAGCACATCTGAAAACCAGAAAACACTCATGCAAAACTCACAGCTGTCGTGCGCTACAGTACGTAGATCTACGACTCGTACGTATGAGTTCACGCGTCTATAGTTTTGAAACGGACTGTAGATATGCACAGCGCCACACGGCCCAGCTTGCCAGTAGAGACCTTTCGCACCACGCGTAGATCTACCAAGAGTCCATAACCCCCCGGGGCGTTATGGACTCTTGCGCGTACGGATATGAAACGAATGTGGATTCGTCGCCTGGGTTCGAGGATTCGCCAGAGTCCCTTATACAGTGCGTATCGGTTATAGTGTGGTCGTATACAAGAATATACTGCTTACAAGAATGAACACTCATTTTTTCATAATCATAACACATATTTTATGTGTATATTTATTCTTACAAGCAGTATTATCGCATTATAAAATATATATAGGCCCTAAGAATGGATTTTGTGTAGCAAAATATGCCAGATTAGCGCAAAGTGGATCGCCTGTAGTATTAACATCTGTGCTCTGTGCATACTCAATACAATAATTCAACACAAAAAGAGAGTTATGTCCAAGGGAGCATTGGAGAATCACTTTTTCTGTCCAGCCGGACTCTTTCTTTCGACTTCTCTCGTATCCGCTGCTCCGCAGTCGCCTAGCACGACCGCGAGTCTGATTGATCCGTGTGTACGTGTCCACATGCCAAACGTGCGGGCATATGATATGTCACACGTGATTTATCGTGTGTAAGAAATATCGGCAATAAGAATCAAATGTCGTTTTTCAAACACCCACGCTATAACCGATACCTACTGTACATGTATGACTATGAGGGCTCGTTGTCACGAATGGAAGCCTCTGCATTCGTGGATCGCTCCGAATCTGTCAGGTACACATTTTTTGGCCAGGTACTGTACACTTTATTTCTTTGATTCAATGATTATTATTATTACGAAGTAGTGGTTGCGACTTCGGCGATGATTTGTAAGAAAAGGTTTGCTCCCCACACTGGAGCTCGCGCTATTCCGACGAGGTTCGATGGACTTCTCGTGTGCTCTGGATGGCAGTCGTGAGTCAGTCAAGTGTCAAGTAAAGTCGGCGGAATAGCGCGAGCTCCAGTGTGGGGAGCAAACCCTTTCTTACAAATCATCGCCGAAGTCGCAACCACTACTTCGTATTGTTGTGCCCAGCGCGGGCTTGCGACTAGTTGGTTTGGAGGTGACAGCGTTGCGAATGACCGAGGGTCCTCAACGTCTGGTCTCACCGTCCAGGAGCGACACTGACTCACGCTGCTATCTGGTGTTCACGAGGTGTTTGTCGCGCTGGAAATGGAGCGTCTCTGTAAGCTTGTATCCCTGGTGATGTTTGTGCCTGGAGAGCACTATATAAGTGGTGCTCTTCAGGCACAATCTTCCTCAGCCTACTCAAGCTCAACTGATGAGGGGTGAATTCCCCGAAACACTGTGTATTGAGCAGGGAGTGGTGCTTTCTTGCAGGTTTGCCGAGTCGAAGGTTCGATGGACTTCTCGTGTGCTCTGGATGGCAGTCGTGAGTCAGTCAAGTGTCAAGTAAAGTCGGCGGAATAGCGCGAGCTCCAGTGTGGGGAGCAAACCCTTTCTTAGATTATTATTATTCTATTATTATTTTTATTATTTTTTTATTATTTTGTTAGGGATTTCCCAACAGGCAATGTTGCCTTTTTACTGGGAACCCTAAATGAGACTTTGTGTGAGCGCGAAACAAAGCATATAATTATGATCCGTGCACGTGTATTCTTAGTTGCCATGGGAAATAGCATGACGACTTGCGAAACCTGATTCTGTTTTCAACAAAACGAGGACGAGCCGAATCAAACTTTAGTTTCGCAATCGATTCGCAGCAGATGCGAAAGGCGAAAGGTCCCTATTGACTGTATTGATCTGATGTCATTGAGCATCACTGGGTCAGTTCTTAGCCCGGGGGGGTAGTAAAATTACAAATTCCTGGTTCTTAGTTGGGCATCCGTATTTTCCAGAGCATGAGCCGCACTTTGAACACTCAAAATTCACCCCCCCCCCCCCAAAAAAGAGGGTACGGCTCAGGGTGCGTTCTTAAATCCTCTCGGAAAAGTGGGAGACTCTCGGAACAGGTCGACAAGTGTTCTTTAATACATTGTACATCCTCTCTGAGTTTAATGAAGACTAGGGGCTCCCGTAAGAAGACCATAGGTCTGTGGGAAACACCCTAGTAAAATAAAAGTTAATAATAATAATAATAAATAACTTTTCAAAGCTCTCCAAGCTCTCCGAACTTCAGAGGTGGTCGAAACTTGGAGATTCCTGCGCTTTTTGGGTCAGCGCATGCGAACTACTGCTAAACGCAACGTGTTGATCATGAGCCCGAGTGTATGACATTCGCTTTTCGCATCCGCACAGTGCGTACTACTTAACCTTATTATTCATATTATTCGCGTCACTAAAGATCGCGGCCCCTTTGGCGCTTCACATACTCGTATGCAAACGACCTCTGAATTCTTCAAGACCCGTTCCTAAATGAACCCAGTTTCTTCCACCTGACTTCCAGGAGAGCTTTCTCTGAGAAGCTAGAGAAAATAGGACGCACCATTCCATTATACTCTGATTATCAATACTGTAGATGTCTGTATTTATAGAAAACAAAAGGACCAAGGAGCTACGCGTTACGCTATAATGTCCACTAGCACCACCAGTTACTTGACAATCAGCGCATGCGACAACGTTGCACGACACTGACCAACGGTACTGACGGTCTACAACTACCGTAACTGCCAATCATCTCTAGCACTGAGTCTTGGATGTGCACTCCAACAGCAGTCTTCCAACTAGCAGATAGTGAGAGTGTAGTGACTGATTCCTTCTGAATACAGGAAAACCTGCCTAAGACGACCACTCAAGGGACCTTCAAAATGTGGTCTCTGTTACCAGGTGGTCTCTTTATCCAAGGTAATTTGACTGGAAATAGCATCCCTTAATCTTGGTTTCAGTGGTCTTCTTGGACAGGTGGTCGGTCGCCTTATCCAAGTGGTCGCCTTGCCAGGTTTTACTGTACATAGGTCAGGTTGGCACTCGTGAATGTAGACAGGTTCTAACACTTTCATTTGCGGAACATTACGAGCAAGACATACAGGATTGAACCAGGAATCATCATACAACTCACGACAACGCTGATTCAAGAACTTCTTCTTCCACTTCTCATCATCTTCATCATCGCAATCACCGTCATCACCATCATCACCCTTCGTGCCTCCGTCATCATCGCCGTCACCATCGTCACGCTCTTCACCCACCTCCTTGTCATTGCCATCAGCAGCCTGTTTATCGTCTGCACTGTTGTGAATGGGAGTACCGTATCTACGGATTGAGGCACCAATCTCTCCGAAGGGATGGGTTCGAATTCCACCGCTGCCACCATGTTGTGTTCAGCCTGCAAGCCACGCAGCAGGAGTCCATTGCGGCACAAGACAAGGACTGATCTATTTACAACGAGCATGCGCATAATTAATTATGATGAGGGAGGCGAGAGCGAGAGAGAGCGACAGTACGGAGAGAGACAATACGGCGACAAACACTATACACTACACGAAGAGTACATACCGTATTATCTCTATAAGCACAGTCTCCAATAATAGCACGTCTCCAATAATAGAACACCTTGGGGCGGCATTCAAAAAATAAAGTGCTCAGTCTCCATTATAAGCACATTGTGTAAATTCGTTATCTGTACCGGCGAAAAAACCCTGAAATGTGTGTGTCTGACATGAATTTGGCATGGCAACAAGCCTCTGAAATGAGGTTGAAATAATAATGGAACAGTCTCCAATGAAGGAACGTCTCCATTAATAGCACGGGGCGGAGGTACATTGAAAAAATAAAGGACCGTGCTTATATTAGAGATAATACGGTAACTAACTCGACTACACTTATCACCATCACCATCAGCGTACTCCCTTGTCCTTGCTGTCTGGCTGACCATTAATACTAGCCCTTTTCCCAAAGATGCCATAATTTTTCGCAACTTATGCTTTTCGCAACCGTGCCAAAACAGCTGCTAGTTGCTGAAATCGCATCCATATTTTCAGAGAAAGCTCGAAGGTTGCTATTAAAATTGGAGAATTCCTAAAATTGGAGAGTTCTTGTGCAAAAAAAAACACCAAAAAAGGAGCAGAAATAGCAGACGTCAAACTCGTAAACCCCCTTCCTGCTGTTAACCACCACTTTACACAGTGCCAGTACGGCAGTAGCCTCTTGCATGTACATTGTATCCTACATAATTCCAGTGCACGGCAAAGGGAATGCATCGTAACTACCGTTGATCTACTGTTTCTCTGAAACGAGGCTGAAGGCGGGCGAGAAATGAGCGAGTATGCATTTGTCTGACATGTAGTCCGTGACTTGACCTTTTGACCACATGCCATGGGGCCAAGGTTGCGGAAAAGTTGCGAAATAGTACGAGAAAGTTGCGATTTCTTCCTAAAACAACGAAAAGTTGCGAAAAAAGTGGCGAGCATCTTTGGGAAAGGGCTACTGAGCATACCGGTACTCCGTTTCAGGTTGATCCTCGAGGCCTCCTCATGATACTTGTTCCTTCCGGTGACCGTGCTGTTATTGCTGCCATAGTTGGCTGTAGTTCTCCAAGGACGAGGTCGTTACTGTCGCTGACAGGGAGGGCGCCACTGCTGCAGGAACTAGACTTCCATGTACCTGACTCCCTTTCCCCTGTGGGTGTTTCGTGTACCTGACTTCCTTTCCCCTGTGGGTGTTTCGTGTACCTGACTCCCTTTCCCCTGTGGGTGTTTCGTGTACCTGACTCCCTTTCCCCTGTGGGTGTTTCGTGTACCTGACTCCCTTTCCCCTGTGGTAGTGTGGGTGTTTCCCTGGTCTACTACGCCTAGGACGTAGGCGTTTAGCAGACTCCGACAATATCCATAGGGCGTCCTTGTTGTTTGATACGTGCGCTCAGGTGCTGAACATACAATGTACATGACTCACATACCCACAATTGAATTGGCTACTAACAGCAAGCTCCAATTCTTGAAATCTGAGGAAACACGGGGAAATTGCAAAGCGCCAAGTGGGCAGTGCATGCATGCCCAAGGACCCAGGGTGACCGTGTGTACTACCACATGATTCCATGTATGTGCAGCAGCGGACTGAGTTTCGCTAGGAGAGACAACAGGCTGGTGGACATGTCAGGAGGATGGCGGGCAAAAGGCTGGTGTGGGTCTAGAAGCGGCTGAGTGCAAAAACAGCGCGGACAGAGGCGCTGGGGAGGCAGCGAGTGTACAAGGTGGAGGTGCTAGGAGGATGGCGGGCAACAGGCGAGCGGAATAGTGAGGGCATCTTTAGGAGACGGGTGGGGGTGAGCACAGTGGTATAGTGTAGTCTTAATAGGTGTGGAATGTTCTATAGACGTGGAAATACACAAGAGAGAGAGATTGGAAGCTTTGATAATAATAATAATTATGATTCGGTTGTCTTCCCCTAGCACCTTGGTCCGTGTTAGCTTTCTTCCAATTCATGGCGTTACCAGACTTAGCGCCCACCTGTACCTAGCGGTAAATTTGTTTATGCCCGCGCCTCTATCCTCTATATGCTTATCAGCGTTCTGCTGAATAGAACAACGTCAGTATCAGTTGACAGTTGTCTGACGATTGCCTCGCCGCATAACACTCAGAGTTACAAGCAAACTGAACATCCTCCGCTCAGTCTGCTATGTTCTAAGTTCTGTCTATGACATTCAGCACTCTCTGCAGCTCAGGGATCAACGGACTTGTATCCATAGGTACAGGTATGTGTATGTGTGTGCATGCTGTGTCTACATGATTGTACATGTATGGGCTTATTGTTCAGTGTTCTCATGTTTTGATTTGTAAAAGAATGTTCCAAATCGGTGATGTGTGTGCGTGTGTGTGGTGTGTGTGGTGTGTGTGGTGTGTGTGTGTGCGTGTGTGTGTCACTGTGGTGTGCGTGTGTGGTGTGTGGTGTGTGTGTGTGTGTGTGTGTGTGTGTGTGTGTGTGTGTGTGTGTGTGTGTGTGTGTGTGTGTGTGTGTGTGTATGCTACGTAGGGCGAAGCCGACGTTGAGCAACGAGGCGGAGGCCACACTTGGACGACTCCATGGCAGAGGACAAGAAGGAGATAGTGGACAACACTGAGGAGGTACAATGTACATGCATTTGCCTAGATCGCTGCATGCATGTGCATACAAGACAGTGATTACTACATCCCAACCACATAATTGCACCGCAACTAATCTACATGTATTCGATTGTAGGTCATGGTGGTACTTCCAAGTACAGAGCTGTGCAATGAAATCCGTCCGGATGAGCAGCCTCGGCATTCCGCGCCAGTGCTAGGCCTTGACGGATTATGCTAGCATAATTTTTCGCATAATTCCTACCAAAATCGAATAATCGCATAATTCGAGGCAAATTGCACACGAATCGCATAAATTGGAATAATCCGCCTGTTCGCATCAAATTCCATACAGTTGTACATGTTCTATAACAGCAAGTACAAGTACAAGTTGATGCACCAGGAAGTCGTAGGTTTACGACTCCCTTGATAACAATCAGTGACGGTCGTAGCTAGGTCGAACGGTGCGTTGACCCCGTTGAACTTTTGCTACTACAGTACGAGAGATTCGTACAGCGCCCTCTACAAAAAAATCCCCTGCTATTTTGCACAGAATCATCATAATAAAATATACATTAGCAGCATACATGTATGTGAGCATAATGTGGCATAAAAATGATGACTTTTAGCATAAAAATAGCATAATCCTGCAATTTTTCCAGCAATGCGAAAAGCATAATTTCACGAAAATATTAGCATAATCCGTCAAGGCGTAGCCAGTGCCCACTGCCCATCCCAGTGCTCACAGGTCTGGGGTTGCACAGCGCTCGGCTCGTACTTGCCTCCCTCGATCGGATTTCATTCAACAGCGCTGTAGATTGTACAGTAACACTTGATAGACTAGGGTTGGCGCCGCTTAGTGTCATGTGGACGTCATCCACAGTCCGTGCCGTGCAGGGCTCAGTTTGCCAAAGATAAAGAGCACTTTTCATCTGATGATCACTTTTCATCTGATGATCACTTTTCATCTGATGATCACTTTTCATCTGATGATCGCTTTTAAAAAGTCGTGTGACGCTCAGAGAGTTACAAAACTGCAACTGTTCCTCCTTCTGTTTGTGTCTTGGTGATCAGATGTAACCTATAATGTATGTATCTCTACTTGATATCGCTCTGCATTGCCTTCCGGCGACTTCTTGGTCTGGTGCTTTCAGGAGGTGACACTGCACCACGTCGATCAAATCTTGGGAATCGTCCTAGTGGGAGGTACTGACTCCTCTTCAATGCCTTTTGCGCCAAGCAACAATGTCGACGTATTCATATCCCAGGTACGGTGCCGTTTGAAAGCAGAATAATGTGTTGGAGAGGCGCACGTGTTTGTGTGTGTGGGGGGGGGGGGGAGGAGGTGTGCAACGCGCGCCCGTGGCACGGCGTGCTAGCGTCCGTTGACCGCCATTTCATCTGTGTTGTTTCCAGAAACTTACAAAACGTACCTCCCAATTCCCGGAGTCCTCTCCTGGGACTCCAGCAGAATAACGAGGATAAGTTGGCAAGGAAACGTTTTTACTAAAACTGTCCTTCTAGTCGGTCTTATGCTTTGCTGGATTTCTTGAATTTTAATCTTCCATGTACTTACTCTTCGTTAGCGTGGGAGTTGATTTGCCATGGAGTGTACCTATTTTTAAAATACGTGTGTCTGGCTGCATTGATGAAAAGAGGAACTCGTGCCAAATATGGATCATTTTTTTGCAGCGGGAGACCGAGAAGAAGGACGTATTTTAATATGAGGTGTTTACTTTCTCATACGTGTTTATTCTGCCCTCCTTGCGCGTCGTATCCAATTATTTTAGGTGATCAGGAATAGCACTGCAGACCAAAGTGGTCGCCTGCGCATGGGAGATCGTATCATCAAGATCAACGGAGAGGGGCTCAGTAACAGGAGCTGTAGCCTTGCAAAGGCCGCGTTAGCTGCCCAGGGCGGTAACAATAACATAGTGAAGCTGACGGTCTACCATCACTGTCAGCTGACAGGAATTGTGGCTGTAGAACTGCTCCGCCACCCCGGAGAAGAGCGCCTCGGATTCACCATCAAGGGAGGCGTCGGCAGTCCGCATCCAGGCAACCCGGACAACTCGGATGATGTGGGCATATTCGTATGCAATGTGAGTTGGCGCTACTCCCACTCTTGCTTCTGATCTGCACCCCTCACCTTCAGATCAGTGCAGTGTATTGCTTACAGAACTGACAGAAGCACACACACTTTAGGACATGCGAATGCTGTGTTGTTGTTTTTCTTCGGTGCGTCTAGTACTGTATGAATCTGTAGCAGCACACTCCCAGTATCCGTGGAACGCAGAGATCTATGTTATCAAGAGTACATGGTTTATGTACTCTTGGTGTTATCTGGTGTTGGCTGTAATTTCTAGTACCCCCCCCCCCCCACACCCCCAGGGTTGTACCTCACACTTGGCACTCCACCATTGTGATCGCCCAGACCAAACATCACCATCATGACTGTGTTTTTGTTTTACGTATTGTTTTCTGCGTGCACAGATCCGTGAGCAGTCGGCGGCATCCAGGTGCCCAGAACTACGCATCGGACAGCGGTTGGTGGAGGTGAACGATCTGACTGTGATCGGCGCATCGCACTATGACACCTTGACTCTCCTGCGGGAGACACGTAACCCGGTCCGCTTGCTGCTGTGCGATGGCTATGCCAAGATTAAAGTTATTAATTAAACAGGATGTAAGTGATGTTGCATGTTATGCAGTCAACCCTGTAACTAAAGACCACCGTTACTAGCGACCAGCCTGGTACTACAGACCACTTTACACAAATTCGATCGGGATAACCAAGCGAAACTTCCAAAAACCCACGTCACGAAGTTGAGTGCGGGACAGTCAAGTCCCGTTAGTCACGTCAAATTTTACATGAGTTTTTGACGTAAAATTACACGGACGTAAGAATTTTACGTGAAACTTAGGGTGCGTTTGGTTGGTACGATCTAGAACAGGATCGAACAGCTGGTGCACATGGAGCAGCCTCATGCCAACCAAACGGTACTCCGGAAACAGAGCACATTTTGTGGAAAAATGTGCCAAACTTGGTGCATTCTTCAAAATGTGTATGGGTCACCATGGTCACTTTGTACGGTACAACGAGTCCAACCCAAAAGCGTATGCACGTGATCATTTGGGACCAAAATCGATTTTCCTGCCAGGTTTCACTGTGAAAAAGTGAAACTGCTCGGTCTGCACCGGCCTGGAGGCCGGAGCAAGCAGAACATGTTCTGGCCGACCCAGAACAGGTGCAGTCCCAACCAAACGCGCTGTTCTGGTGAATCCTGTTCTAGTTCGTACCAACCAAACGCGCCCTAAACCTCTCTATTATGCGGCAAATATGCTGTATAATGCGGTCATTATGCTCGAATTCTCTGTCATTTGTACAGCTTTAGCATGCCGTTTGATGCCAAGTACAGTGTATACAACTTTGTCATACAAACTCATGCACCAGTACGACTTTGTAGTACATTTTCAACATCATGTACTATTTTCTTGTAAATTCCCATGAATAACGCGGGTTTATGCACAATCTCTCGAAAACGCGGATGACAGCCAATAACGCGGAAAATTGCGCGTCCGCGGAATCGCGGTATCCTGTGAGGACAGGTAGCATCTCTTGGTCCTGGTTGCAGTGGTCTTCTGGGGCAGGTGGTCGCCTTATCCAAGTGGTCGCCTTAACAGGTTTTACTGCAGTTTGTTTTGTGCCCGTAACCGGCGTGTCTTCAGGTTCGGAAATGTGACTGTCCATTTTAGTCCGGGGGCCAAGGGTGGAAATTCAATCCTTTCACTCCCGGTAGTAGCGCACCAACATTTGATGGCTCCAACTGAAAGAGGGCCTCACAGGCAACGTTTTGACACCTTTATCTATTGGCATTTCGCCCAGGAACATCTATTTTCATTAATTTCTTTCTCACTGGCCGAGTGTGGTAAAGGCATTGACACCATGCATTGGGGAGTATGATTGTGGGCACAACGCTGCCCTCCCCCCCCCCCTCTCTCTCTCTCTCTCTCCCCCCGCCCCCAAACAAGTGGCCATGCGGAATACAGTAGTTGTTTATTGTATACCTCTCTGCGTCTTTATTTGCGAATTCTCCATTCTGCAGACTTAATCTTCCGCACTATCCTTGACGCAGGCTGCCAGTCCAAATAAAACGGAGATAGAATCGTACATGATGGAGTGACAAACGTGCAATGGACAAGACAACGGACAGAGCAACAGATGCGTCGCGTGACTGGCACACACGCACACCTATCTCGACGGCCGTAAATGACCAGGCTGCTTCAAGAGTCACCCCCCCCCCCCCAACACACACACACACACACACACACACTTTGTTTTAGATTTCCGCATAGCTACAAGCCTGTTGCGGCCAGACATTAGTTACTTGCAATGCAAACATGTTTTTGGCATTTAGACAGTCTGGGTTCCTGATACTGTACAATGGTCTTCTTCTGGCGTTCCTGAACAAGTCATGATAATAATCCTGAACAAGTCATGATATGATATGGCTTGCAGTGCTGCTGTATGTATGTTACACAACTTACAAGAATTAGATGTACATGTACATGTACGTAGAACACGATGCATGTCTGATCATTCTTGACGCTATGAAGAGTGTGAAATATCAAGAAAAAAGTCCTGCAATATGAAGTACAGGTATGAACAGAACCAGCTATCCTTACAACAACTATATCACCTACGTATTCAACACAATATTTCCTGGTCTGACGACGCACATATCCGTTACAAGGGTAGGTGGACTACTATTACTAACAATATCGATCGATGGGGTCACAAAGGGGGTTAACAAGGGTAGGTGGACTACTACCGGAACTCTAGTTGAGGAGGCATCTCTACAAGAATACAGAAGGAGGCACCGACTTCCACAGCTCAATAGTGCTCAATACCCGGAGGTAGAGACAACCCTAACACATGCATTCTGCAACAGCCATCAATGGAGGACACACACATGCTGGCAAGAACACATCATCATCATCGTACCAGTTCAGTTGCGTCGATTTCGGGAGCTGTGGGGATCTTCGGGTGAGTGGCTACGCCTCGATCTCCTTACTGGAGAACGGCTGCGCTTTCGACTTCTTACCGGCGAGTAGGCATGCCTCCGGCTGTTTGACTCCGGCGAGCGGTCTCGCCTGGTATTCCTCATGGGTGAGCGACTGCGTCTTGCCTCTCGTACTGGTGAGCGACTGCGTGCCGAGTCATGAACGGCAGAGCGGTGATGACTGATTGCTGTGCGCCTATCTGGAGATGCAGCGCGATGCTGCGGCTGCTGACGTCGCGGAGAACGGCTTCGATCATGCCGCTCTCTCCGCCGCTCGGCACGCTCGGGAGAGAAGCTGGGTTGCCGTCGACGACGCATCATTGGGCTTCTCCTCTGGCCTCGCTGACCGGGTGGCGAGGCATTGCGGCCTTGTCCACGTGTCGACGAGGACGGAGAGCGGCTTCTGCTCCGCCTTCGGTGGCTAGGAGGAGATGGGCTGCGTCTATGTCTGGATTGGGCTTGTACGCGATCCTGGCGACGAGGTGATCGACTACGACTGTGGTGCCGTCGCGGCGGTGAAGAGAAAGCAGATTTGCTCGCGTGATCAGCCTGTCGCTGCATGACATGACTACTTTGCTTGTCGCCGCCAGGGCCCGGATTTAAACTGTTGTCACGGCGACTGTCGCGGTCTCGTGGTGGCCTCTCGGAGTTGCCTTGCCGACGAGCATGCTCATCCTCGTCCAGATCACACTCTTTGTCCTTTGACTTCTTTTTCTCCTTCTTCTCCTTTTTGCTTTTCTTTTCTTTCTTATCTTTCTTAGATTTCTTGGATTTCTTTCCCTCATAGTCCTCTGGTAATCTGAACAGGGGAAAGAAAAAAGGAAGAGAGAAGACAATAGTATGCTTCTCTGAGTGCTGGTTCCTCCTAAAACATAGCATTAAGTCGTGAATGGATATCTCCACGCGGGTGGGCATTTCAAAAGGACAAAGGAGAGAGTTGAGAGCTGAAAGGGAGAGAGAGAGAGAGAGAGAGAGAGAGAGAGAGAGAGAGAGAGACATACAGAAACAAGTTAAGAGAAACTCTCCACCACTGTAACTAGATACTATATACAGTCAGAAAGTGCAACAACTAGGCACAAAACTGACAGAGTACTGAGACATTCGACGTCCTGACACCTAGCTTCAACACGTCTCCGTATATAGTATCTAGTTACAGTGGTGGAGAGTTACTCTTAACTCGTTTCCATATGTCCTTTTTCTTTTCTACATTTATTATTGGCTCAATACCCGAGAAAGAGAGAGAAAGAGAGAGAGAGAGAAAGAGAAAGAGAGAGAGAGAAAGAGAGAGAAAGAGAGAGAGAGAGAAAGAAAGAGAGAAAGAAAACCATATCACCACGTCCAAGAACTCACGTATGGCCAGCTGGTCCAGGCGCTACAGTGTGCCGTGAGAGCTGTTCAGATCCGGCCTAGCAGAACAAGGGCAAGACCCATACAAGTTCAGATACAACAGTGGAGAATGTACACATAGCCACCAAACAGCAATAAATATCTATTAGGCCACACCAAGTTAATTCTATGTTTCGTGTCGGATATTTTCTGGAAAAGGCACACGCGGGCGGGCGGAACCCCCCCCCCCCCAAAAACAGAGGAAAAAACAAAACTCCATTCTATGTGTACTGAGCCATGTAGCACTCCTAAACTGTCACTTATCGCCAAAACGACAACAAGTCACCACAGGACAGCTGGCACACTGGGAAGGAGCGATACAATAACAGATTTCATGGATGGCTCCTTCCGCACTTTGACATGAGTGGAGTGGAATTCCGCTCCATCACTATTGTGGAAAATCTCGACGTTCTTGACCTCTGGAATCTCTTCTCGCTTGGTGAGCAGGCCCTACACTGGCCTACAGTACGGCTTGGAAAAATAGAAAATTTAATCCTCTCACCTTCTACGTACCATCGCCTGGAAGGCGAAATTATCGAGAAGCTGATAACCTCTGATCTGCCATACTGGCTAGAGAATGCTGGCCAGAACAGCCATCGATTGACTGTCTCGGTTCTTTTTTTTTCTTGTCAAGGATTCGAAAAGGTACGCGCGCAGTGACGTGAAACATAGAAATAACTTGGTGTGGCCTTAGGCGAGACCAAAATAAAATCGAGATTCCCGGGCAGGACCCATGTGAAATTGGTGCGGGCGGGCGAATTTTTATTTGTTTTCCTTTGTATTTATGCATGGAATACTCATCTTTTTTTACAGTATTTACTGGTTTTTTTAATTTTTTTACAGACAGACCACAGGGACGCGCGGCTTATCAGTACAAAGTTTTTTTTGTATTTCGGCCAACGACAGCCATCGATCAGGGAGTCGTACAAGCCCAGGTTTGTGTGACTCCACGTCACAGATCTACTCACACCACCAGTACTGTACACGTACATGGATATGAACTGCTCAAAAAATGACTTCGGCTCGATTTTGGTGCGGGAGGGCCCGGGAATCTCTATTTTTTTGTCTCACCTTAGCAAAACACATCCCGGCTCAATAGTGGGCGGAGGAAATTGGCCATAATACTTCTCAGCTCCAGTGCTTATCACTTGAAGTGACACCTTTCACCACTGCTGTCATTCGCACCGTTTAAAATTTAAATTTACGTCATGATGCAATCTTTCACGACTGCTGTCATTTACACGTTTGCTTTTCTGGGTATTTAAACTAGTATCCAGATTCACTCATTACTGTTTTCTGATGATCGTAAAAACACTTTTTTTCATCCTCTTATCAATAATATTAATAAAAGGCTCTTATCATTATTTGAACTAGCTCTGCCTTTCGGTATTGAGCACTCTATTGGACAGCCTGGAACCTCTCTGTTTTACTTCTCAATATGATTGTGCAGACTCCGCTATATCCATACATCTTCACGGCACTCTTCAAGCGGTCTCTGGGCTACCCCATTCAACGGAAAAAGAATAAGGTCACCCGAATTTTCAGGCAAGGTCCATCTTCAGGAAGCCCTGGCCATATACATGTATTATTGAAAAGAAAATACAAAAAAAACCCACATGGCTGTCAACACACACCGACACAGGCACAAGAGCAAGACAGTAGTAGTATTCGGCGCGCTAAAGCACACCTTTTTTCTTCTTCTTTTTTTTTGAACTTTGTTTTGTACACTCATAAGTGTGAGAGGGAAAGTTGCAAACGGGAAAAGTCTGAAGAAAGAAGTGACTGTTACCACCGGGACTCGAACCAGGTTCCCTCGCTTATGGCCAAGAGATGGTGTAGTCGTCATCCACCCCGCGATCGTTCAACATCGAAAGCAACACAAGAGCACACTCACAGGGGCACGGATACAGGCTCGCGCTCGCATGCACGCATGTCATCCTCAACACATACATGTACATATGTACATACCGTCGTATTGTCAGTGCCCGCTGCCGTCTCTCTCTCCGCTCTACCCACACCACCCATCATGGCCAAACGTTGACTGTACACACACACACATACACACACACACACACACACACACACACACACACACACACACACACATACACACATACATACACACACACAGACACACACACACACACACACACATGAGCAAAACACACAACAAAAACAGGAATCAGATTGAACAAGTAGCGGCACATCAACGGGCATGCAAGTTCCATGTACCCCCCCCCCCCCCCCCCCCATTCCCCCTCAACCCCCACCTCAGCACTGTACCCGCTGCAATTTAGAGGTACATGGCACATGCCCCGGGGTGTTGACTTGCAGATGAATGGGATATTGACCAGTCAACTACCCTGCCATGAAATGTAGCACACAAGCACACAGGAATGCGAGGGAAGAGCCGGGCATAACGCTAAGCAAAAACGGAGGAGGGATACAGCAGCTGATAGTTGAGGACAGAGGTACACCCGCAACTACACAAAACATACAGCCAGATTTCTGCCGGCCTCCACACACCCTCTGCACTACTAACTTTGCTGTGTTTCTCAACACAATTACAGTATAGCAGGTGGTAGAATGAATGTGCGGACTTTATATTATAATTTTACTACTCACTTTGAATATCCCAATCCTTTGATCTTGTCGGCTTTGACGGCTTCGTTGTCATCCTGTTTCTCGTTCTGATCACCTGTTTCTCCCTTCATCAACATCTTCATCTCCTATTGGCGTGGAGCAATGGACCACACACGTGTGTTGCATGCGAATATGTGTAAACAAACACACAGACGGGCAGGTACAGATGTGCAAGTACACACGCATGTGCACACGAACACCCATGTGTACGCACGGACGCACAGACACACACACACTCCACATAAGAACAGCGGTACAAGCAGAGACGACGCCGACCGACGGGTGCTCAACACCATCAGGTGAGGTGGACGAGCACCGTACACACAGCAGGAAGGGGGGGGGGGGGACAATTTACAGCCGCGGAGCCTAGGTCGTTCTTATTATCACGTACTACAGTCTATGCACTGTGTTGGGTAACTGTGTGTACATTGGTATTCTGATTTTTATTTTTTACAAAGACCACTTAAATGCTAAACACGAGATGGAGCTATGGGAAGCACGCACACCATGAACCTTGGCGATGGTGGTGAGGTTTAGGGAGCTCCGCCGACCTGGGGTCTTATGGTGTGCTTTGTGAAGTCCCACCCGTTCGTTCTTCCGGCATTTCACAGTACTGTAGTTTTATGCAATACATTTGGCACACAAGCATCGGCTGCAACTGTGGACTGCGCATACGGTTAGCTACATGTAGTGGCACACGCACAGAGCTGTGCTTACCGCTTTGCTAAGCTGGTCAGTGGGTTCGGGCTTGGGCGGTGGCTTGCGACCGCTGTAATCAACACACAAAAACAGCGCACACCATCTCTATGTGATGTCAATCGATAATCTGGCTTTCAGGAGCAAGAGGACAGCTATGGAGCCAGTTGTCAGTGCTACAGTACTGCCGGGCGCCGAGGAATGGCCAGGCTAGAATTTCACCAATTTTTAATAACGTATTTTTGCAGATAAGAACGGAAACTGCACATGTACACTTAGTATAATGTACACTCAGAAAGTTAATTATACAAAAGAGAAAGACCAAGGAACTACAAGTTACGCTGTACTGTCCACTAACACCACCAGTTACTAAACAATCAGCTCATGCGATAACATTGCACGACACTGACCGACGGTACTGACGTTCTACACCTAAACGCCACGCAAAGTGGTTATTGGCTACCCCAGCCATGTAGTGCTTGGAATAAAACGAGAGAGCTTGGAAGCTCAGGGCCCTACGCTATGCTTTTTTGCCTTGATGACCTAGACAAAAAAAGCATAGGGATGTTATAAATTCTTATACATTTCTACTTTTTGTTTTTAGACATAACCTGGGATTCGAACCCGCACTATCGCCCTGCATGCATCCCCCGATACACTTCGCATACATACTAATTCTTCCAAGTTGCTTCACGTTATGATCTTGTATTTGAAAGCCGTATTTGAATATGCATTGTGGTCAGCCGTCTTTGATTGTACGGTATGGTACGGGACAGGTACGGGACAGGTACGGTCGAGGGTAATACGACACCATCTACCGCCTTGATGACGGCAAAAAAAAGAAAAAGGATGTTATAAAATTTTCAATTTTCCTATTTTTTCAGGCATTCCCTGGGATTCGAACCCGCACTATCGCCCTACATGCATTCCCCCATACACTTCGCATTCATACTCATTCTTCCAAGTTGCTTCACGTTATGATCTTGCGTTTGAAAGCCCTATTTGAATAGTGCGGCCAGCTGTGTTTGATGGTACGGTACGGTACGGGACAGATACGGGGTAGCGCCAGGCGTGACACAAACACACAAACACCAAATTAAAGCTGTGTGGACCCTGGCTAGCGCCAGACGTTACTGAAGTAACGTCTTCTGCATAGCTACGGGAATAAATAAATAAATAACTGGCTAAGAGCTCTAGCACATTTTGGATGCGCACTCCAACAGCCTTCCAACTTGGACACTCAGTAGTACACCGTATAACTCTGCGTGAACACACGTACTTGTAGGTTTGGATGATAGATTTCCGCACTCCATGGGAAGTCAAAACATGCGAACTGGCAGGTATGCCTATGTGTCACTATGCACCAGTCATGTGCTGGTACCATGCATGTGCGGTCCTGATGTAAACTTTCGCACATACAATGACATGTACTTCCTCCGCGTCATTAAAATTGTCGCTTCCCAGAGCAATTCTTCGAATTTATTTTGTCCACTCAAAGGGCAAAGAAATCAGCTAGAAATTGAGGCAGAGCATTGTCGACGGACCAAGCTTTAGTTTGTGGCCCACCGCTTCGCTGCACTTGCAGCTAAGGTCGACGTCTTCTTCGAGTTTGAGGCAGACCTTTCAGCACTCAACAATACGCTGAACAAGACGCGCGTTCAAATTCAGGCCAAGAAACTTTGTTTTCAAGCGATTCTTGCCTCCAGGTGGCAGGCGATGAAGGCAAGCTAGCATTTTTCAAGTACACTGTAACAACCTTCTAGCGGGATGGGGTAAGCAGTTCCGCACCTTCTTTCCTTGGCAAACGCTTCGCCAATTTTGTTGGTGTTTTCAGACCTTCTACCTTCGCAGCAACATGCGCCACAAGTAGCGCATTTTAGGAATTTGAGACCACTTTGTTCTTGCCATCGTCAACTTCAGCATTTCGTATTCAGAAGAGATACCAGGAATTTTCTACCCGAGCTTGCAGTCTTGATAAATGCCCACGCGAACGACGTGGGACGGCACGAACTCCAGAAAACGAAATGCGCTCTGGGGCGGAATAGTGCGGAGCGCGATGAATTTGCTTGGTGCGGAAGAGAGCTCCGACAAAGTCCGAGACCACCACGGCTTCAGTGACAAGAAGATATTGCGCAGGAAGGGTCGCACCAGTGTTCGAACACAGAAAACAGCGATTCCGACAGTCTGACTAAGACGAGCCAAGTCACAAATATTGCGATGTGCGAAGCGACAATTTTAATGACGCGGAGGAAGTACGTGTCCAGTATAAAATTAACTCAGTGCAAACAATTGGGTATTCCGCGATGAATGAGAGTGAAATGGTTGGTGTCGAGGAAATTTGCTCGTATATCCAGCTCTGTGGACTGTTCGAGGCACCGTGGCGTTGGATGTGTGACTGCTGTGGTGTTGAATTTGAGCTCAAGTTACTCTGCTCGCGGAGAGCTTTCCAGAAAGCCCAAGATAATGGAAATCCAATGACGAGCACCAAAGTGATGCCCAAAATAAGGTAAAGAATATATCTCAATTGCACTTGCATACAATTATCAGGATTATTCGGGGCTCCAAACTTCCAAAGAGGACCTCGAGGTCTGACTGTACTAAGCAAGAGTACCGGTATCAAGAGTACATGAAAACCGGTTTTCATGTACTCTTGATACCGGTATGTATAATCAGAGAATGCACTAAGCGAATTCCAATGTATAAAAACATACTTCAGCATAGACGAATACATCCATGCTGCGGACAATGTCCGTACTGAGTAAGCGCGTATGCATTCTCAGAGTACTGTGTATACTAAGTTAGTTTAACCGTATGCTAAATTAATAACAACACATCGTTGCCAGCTTACAGTGCTACAGCCATCATCTCTTCCTCCTGATGCTTGATGGCTGCAATTTCCTAAAAGCACACAATTATAAGGAATGGGAGACAAGTATACAATCACTGATGGGCTGTACGCACAGTTCGAAGACATACAAACCGGCCAGTGGTCGAATCAAGAATACTAGTAACCCATCCCAATGCTGGCCACTACTAGGTACTATTTTGGTCTTCAATCTCAGAAAAGTGTGCAACCTCGCCCCAGCCCTACTCAACCATCATGCGGGAAAGTCCCCATCCGTTGCTGGTGTCTTAGGCCGTGATCGTTTGGTCGGATCCAGATCCAGATCCATCGGATCCACTGGATCTGCAATGATCGATTGGTCGAATCCGGATCCAGATCCTCCGGATTTGGATCCGAGCAACCCTGCCCCGGGAGCAGGGTTGACTGGATCCATCGGATCCAAATGTGACCTTTGTGCGTATACGGCGGGTAAAAATCATGTTTGTACTCATTGTCGTACGTCTAATGGACTTCCGTTGACTTTTCGTACGACGCGCGCGATCAGTACGACTTTTGCCTTTTTTGGGTGACCTGTCAGCGCCATTTTTTACTTTGTCAACATGGCAACAGCCAAGGTCCGCAAAAAAGTGTTCGGTTGATTCTGAAGGATCCGACGGATCTGAGATTTGGATCTGGATCCGATCAAACAATCATAGGCTAAATCTTGTGTTGGAATGATCGTAAGCTCATCGGCGATCAAACACTGCCAAACACAGGGTGGAGAGATCCATGGTGACACACACATACACCCACATGCACACACAGTTATACACAGCCACACCCACACAGTTATACACTCAACACGTACAGCTTTGCGTCGCTCGGCATCCAAGTCCTTCAGCCCTGCCGTGGACTTGTCCTTGTTGAACCTACACAGTGCAACGAGAGAGAGAGAGAGAGAGAGAGAGAGAGAGAGAGAGAGAGAGAGAGAGAGAGAGAGAGAGAGAGAGAGAGAGAGAGAGAGAGAGAGACACACACACACACACACACAAACACACACACACACTCACACAGAGAGACAGAGTGAGAGAGAGAGGCCTGCGTTAGCCCTAACAAGTAGTAAGTTAGACGCACAGGAATCACAGGGTCGTCCTACTGCAAATTGATAATGCCATTGGTTGAGGGGTGCATGCACCAACCAGCTTATATCACTAACCAAAAACAACATAACACTTATAAGACGTATTGCCACGGAGAACAGGAAAGTGCACTAAGTGTCCGAGGTAGAGTCCTGCTCAACGAAACCCACTCGCATCACTCAAGTTCACGCCTTGCACCTTTTCGCAACCCCGTGATCGCAGGTCTAGGACTACTCAACGCCCCGGCGCGCACTTGAATGTCACGACTGGCTATCATTGAGCAGTACAGACTGTAGTGCTTATGGAAACGCACACTTCAAGACGAAGCAACACACCCGTGCCCCGGACACCCACCATCTACACTAAGCAGATGTAGGTCTTATCAGAGTACACGTACCTGTACAGTAAAACCTGTGACTAACGACCACCCGGCCCTTGGTGCCAGAGAAAGCGGTCTTTAGTGGAAGGTGGTCCTTAGTTAGAGGCTTGCATCACACAGCCATACAGTAAAACCTGTGACTAACGACCACCCGGCCCTTGGTGCCAGAGAAAGCGGTCTTTAGTGGCAGGTGGTCCTTAGTTAGAGGCTTGCATCGCACAGCCATACAGTAAAACCTGTGACTAACGACCACCCGGCCCTTGGGGCCAGAGAAAGCGGTCTTTAGTGGCAGGTGGTCCTTAGTTAGAGGTTTGCATCGCACAGCCATACAGTAAAACCTGTGACTAACGACCACCCGGCCCTTGGGGCCAGAGAAAGCGGTCTTTAGTGGCAGGTGGTCCTAAGTTAGAGGTTTGCATCGCACAGCCATACAGTAAAACCTGTGACTAACGACCACCCGGCCCTTGGGGCCAGAGAAAGCGGTCTTTAGTGGCAGGTGGTCCTTAGTTAGAGGTTTGCATCGCACAGCCATACAGTAAAACCTGTGACTAACGACCACCCGGCCCTTGGGGCCAGAGAAAGCGGTCTTTAGTGGCAGGTGGTCCTTAGTTAGAGGCTTGCATCGCACAACCATGTATGAATGTGAGACCGCCCGTGCCTGGCAAAGTGGTCGGTAGCACCAGGCTGGTCGTTAGTCACGATGGTCTTTAGTTGGTTTTGCTGTACGTATTCCTAGGTGAGTTCCACTGCAGCACCATTAATTTACGCCCCGGAAACCCTGACGGCGACTGATGATGGCTTACCATGTGAGGTCCTGTCCCTTCTGCCATCGTCCACTGGGCGCTTTCACCGTGTGGCCTGAACGAACAATTATACAGCAAAAACAAAAACAAACACAAAACAGCAAGCCATTAACATGACAATAACTAGAGTTACGACTGCAAACAGCTTGCCTGCTAGGAAAGGCTAAAGATGAATAATTGCTTATTGCAGTAGGAAAACAACATCTACAGCGGTCCCCTTATAATCCAGCACCATTCGTGCCATGGAAATGCTCCTGGATTAAGAAATCTGATCTACTGCTGCAATGCACATGAAGATGACATTTTGGTTGCTGGTTTACAGAGGGTGCTACTGTAAATCATGAATATGTAACGAACAAGTAAATCCAACGAGTTAACGAGTACAGATTTGTCGGTATTTTAAAATTCGTTCGTAAAAGTTGTACTTTTCTGTAGCACAGTACTGTAGTGACTGTCCTGATTATCTTTTTCTTTCCCTAATACGGTAAAATCCCGCCAGAGCGCCCCGTCTCTCCCATCCGCCCCTCCCTGACTTCTTGTCAGGGACGTGATTGATTGTATCCTCGTATGACTTTGTCACAGTCTGCGATGCCGTACTGTACTGCAGACGCATGCTCAACCCCGTTGGAAATGTACGCAACAGTGGCCACCCTCTTGGCCAGGGATCGCACAAACCCTTGCATTGCTTGAGTTTTGATGGGTCTGTACGACTCCTGGCTCTTGACCTTTGGTCGGTGTACGAGATGCACGAACAGTTTTCGTAGGGTGAGCACTTTTTCATGTAGTACTGAATGCGGCAAGTAGGACTCGCACATCCGCCCCTCCCCACCTGAAGCGTCGAGGAGGTAGGGGCGCTCTGGCGGGATTTTACGGTAGTTGCTGTTACACTCACTGATCCTTATGCACAGATATACAGCATTCCCTCACTAGTGGGACCATTGTTGCTAGGATAGGGCCTGTTTTGGACTTCCCACTCTAAATAAAGAATACACACAACAAACGACAACAAAATGTCGTCGTCTGCATGCAGGGCAGATAATGCGTGCAATCTTGATACATTGTACCAAGAGTCCATAACCCCAAGAGTGTGCAGCTCTGTACATGGGGATCTGTGTGGCGCAATTCCAACACTACGTCGAAAATGACGCACACGTTCGTTGCGCTCGTACTACTCCCTGGTTCCAAGCACCGCGGAATGCGGAGTTTTGTACAGCTGTGCCTCAGCGGCATGACGTAATGTTGGAATTCCGCCGCGCAGTGGGCCTACAGCAGCCAGACCCCAGTTGCACACTCTTGGGGTTATGGACTCTTGATTGTACGATGTACTGCATTGCACAGGTGCATGAAACAGTAACAGTTACTGCTACTTGTGCTAGTGCTAGTGTTTGCCGCTGGTGCATGGCGCGTTCGACGGTGGACAGACTGTAAAGTAACGTTGCTTAGCAAGACGACGGTTGTTGTTTGTTTTACCGGCTGGAGTGTTGTCGCAGTAGCCTCAGTTTTCATTCCTCCTGACAATCATGTCGATCATGAAATATTTCTTGCCCCGCACGCCTGCCGAGTCAGTGAACGTTGACAACGAGAAAGCATTGCAGGTCGGCGAGGCTGCTGCAGCGGCTGAGGTATCGTCGACGGAGGTTGTTGGGCGAAAGCCCAAGAGGATGGCGATGGCATCCTACGATGAGGAGGTCCGGACCAAGATTGGACGACATGCCATCCAGTTTGGTAACAAGAGTGCCGTTAATAAGTTTTCGAAGAAGCTCGGCCGTCCTGTCCCAGAGGCAATTGTGCGAAATTTTTCAAACGCAATTTGCAGCCCCAGGTTCAGCAGGGTAAGAGCTTGGCTGATGTGAGCGTTGTTCCCTCTGGCCCTCGTGGCAGGCCGCTTCACCTACCTCAGGAGATCGAAGATCTCACGAAGCAACTGATACAAAGTTTGCGTGGCTCTGGGTCGCCAATCAGCTGGGCAATTGTTGTAGTGGCGGCGAAGGGCATCGTCTGCCATAAGAATCCCTCTCTGCTGAAAGAGAACGGCGGACGGGTTGACCTGAACAAGTCCTAGGCCGTGTCTTTTATGGATTGTCTTGGCTATGTCAAGCGCAAGGGAACGAGAACTACCCGGAAGACGCCCCCAGATTTCCCTGCTGTAAAAGCTGAATTTCTGACGAAAGTCGCAAGCGTGGTGGCAGAGCACGACATTCCTCCGACGATGGTGATCAATTGTGATCAAACCGGAGCGAAGATGGTCCCAGTCAACAAGTGGACAATGGCGGAGCAGGGCAGTCGGCAGGTGGACATTGTTGGTCTGGACGACAAGAGAGAGATGACTGTGCTGCTCGGCGTTTCTGCTGCAGGTCAAGTGTTGCCTCCTCAGCTGATTTACGCTGGGAAGACGACCCGCTGCCATCCTTCCGGGAATGTACCGCCTGGGTGGAATGTAACACATTCCGACAATCACTGGTCCAACGAAGTCACTATGTTGGAGTCTATTGACCGAGTGCTCGTCCCGCTCTTCGCTAGTGAGCGTGAACGCCTGGATCTTGCGAGCACGCAGTGCGGCCTCCTCATCTGGGACGTCTTTGCTGCACACCGTTGTGCAGCAGCATTGAAGAGGCTCTCGGATAAAACATCAAGGTTCTATTCATCCCTACTGGCTGCACCAGCATGCTGCAGCCGCTTGATCTGACCGTCAACGAGCCCTTCAAGCGCCACCTAAAGAGCCAGTTCGGCGACTGGTTCGAAAAGCGGAAATGTATATTTATTTTACAAAAAAATGTACTAGAATGCTAGTACAGTCAAATCTGTCGTAAGCGACCGCCCCTTGGTGCAAGAAAAAGCGGTCTCTTACGGCAGATGTATGGTAAATCCGGCATACCGGGCATGCATACCGGTAAATGCTTCCATGTACTCAAATCGACGAGAATAATGCGATTTTTAATATCATTTTATTGGATATTCAATAGAATATAGGGGTGCCAGGGCCAGTCGATCGCACTTGCAAGACAGCGCATTTTCACACCTTGCGGTTGACAGCGCACTGGCAAGTACAGGTTGGCACCTGACTGAATCTGGGTCGCGGTCGCTTACAGCAGATTTGAATGCAGCCACCGTGCATGAAATCACGGTCGCTGGTCGCGCACAGCAGATGGTCGCTCTGGACAGATAAATTTGTATGTGAAACCGTCGGTGCACGGAAAATCGGTCGCTAACGGTAGATGGTGGCCTACAGCAGAGGTCGCTAACGGCAGATTTGACTGTAATCACATTCAATACATGCAACAATTTTTTTACTGCGTCAGTCTGAGAAAATCGCTTACTTTTCAAATCGTTAACCTGCAAAAATCAGAAAATCGTTACCTTTGCGGGTCGTTAACTTAACCATTTACTGTCCGATTAAAATGTATACAAGCCCCCGCAACCACAAAATCTGAAACTAAAATTAGACGTAACTTTGGTTTGAATTTGACGATTTCCACGATCTTGGGCATCCTGGAAAGGTCTTGACGAGACGAACGCAATGAGCCCACACTCGGCGCCACAGGATACACTGGTCCAGCGCTGCAAGCCAGGGAACGCGCAAAAGCGCTGAGCTCACGCTCGAGATCGATCTCAATCCACCATGTCACCCCTGTTGCTCGTATCGAGCTCAAATATTTTCGTAGAGACTCCCGGAAACCTACTTTTGAATTTGAATCGGTGTAGCCTTGCCAACAGGTGACGTAAACAGGGAAAACCCCAGCCGTCGACATGCGCTCTGAACGCACATTTCCCGGGACCAGAATTACGAGTGCGATAACTCAGCAACCGCTCTTCGTATCGCTTCGGGAATTGTTTCAGGCGACAGCTGAGACTTTTCTCTTCGACCTACATATTTCGATCTCTCCAAAAGACCTAGATTTGAGCAAGTTACGATAATTTCAAAATGCCTACCCCATCGATCCCATTGCATCGATGCTTGTATGTACGGACAGTAATTATGATTTACAGTACAGTGCGTATCGGTTATAGCGCGGTCGTGTAAAAGAATATACTGCCTACAAGAATGAACTCTCATGTTTTCATAATCATAACATGGGTTTCAAGCGCACATTTATTCTTAGAAGCAATTTTATCATAGAGTAAAATATATCGGTGCTAAGAATGGACTTTGTGTAGCGAAACATGCCAGATTAGTACTAAGCATATCGCCTGTAGTAATAACATCCGTCCAATGCAGTTCTGATCTGACTCGCGTTGCGTCGTAGTGCTGCAGGTTTCAACTACTGTGGTCATGTAAGTCATGTTGCATGGCCGCATGGTAAGCCTATGGCCCATGTATGGCACTATGACCAGCCGCATGCACAGTAGCACTACGTTGCATGTGCGATGATATTCCTGCTTCTGCGCACATGAATATTATGATATGTCACACTTGATGTATCCGTGTGTAAGAAATATCGGAAATAAGAATAAAAAGTCGTTTTTCAAACACCCACGCTATAACCGATACCTACAGTAGTTTATAAAGTGCTGGATCAAAGAGGAACAACTGTACGTTCCCAGACATCTACATTCTACACAAATCCGAACACATGATTATTTTAAAACAAAGCATATTTCTTTTGGGGAAAAAAAGTTTTACGCTTTGTCTTATCTCCGCTTGTCTGTGTGCAATCACACATAAAAAACTGTCCATAAAGTCGCTCCTGTATTGGTTGGGCTGCCCTCTAGTGATGCGTGCAGTTGCAAGCTGCAGCCAGTCAGGCTAAATGCCTCCACACAAAGTCTGTTTCAAAATGTAACATGTTTCCACCTCTTATTATTATTATTATTATTATTAAAGCTTCCGTGGAGATAAAAATGTAATCAACGCAATAAATAGAGTAAGCTGCGCACTCAGTACAAACACCATAAGCAAAACTTGTTTTCATGTATAATAAATAAGCTTGTTCCTAAACGTTTTCGTCGCCATCTCATCAGAGGATTACTGGCAAATCAACAAAAGCTCTTAACTCAATATATATACGCACAATGCAAGTAATAATTTAGACCCTAACTAGCGCGATAAAATGAGAG